AAATAGGCCATTCATTGAAGGAGCGCCTTATAGTGCGGAAAATACGGTAACTGCAGTACATGTTGACTGTTTATTCTAATGTATATTTTTAAGCTTATTTCTGACGGCAGATTTTCACAAGTCAGTATTATTTAAGTCATTACTCAACCGTTTTGTGCGTGCAAAATGCGTGCAGCTTTCACACTCACATCCAGTGAGACTTTGTTTTCCTCATTCTTCCTGTGGCTGCGAAAGACTTAGGCTTTATCGCCGAGTTCTCCGTTGTTTCCCACAAATAACCTTACAGACCTAATGTAGGACTTGTTAGAGAATTTTCTTGCCTGTTGTCTTTGCTTCAGTGTTTATTGATAAGGTAAAAATGACTCCAAAAATGTCACACATCAAGTTCCACTACCTCTGCCATTGTAACACTGTTTGTTTGTAGGAGGTTTGCTCTACTCCTGCATGGAGGTGGAGCCAGCGTCATGTCAATTGAACAGAGCAGCTGAAATTGTTTTCCCAAGTTGTTTTTGCCAATATATTTATAACTTCTACTTGTTTAAGTCAAGCTAATTTGTCTGTGAATGTAACACACTTGGATCGGGCTACAAATTTTGAAATGGCTAGTTTAAAAACCAATCCATTCCCTCCTGACGTGTTGATCAAATAGACGACTTTGCCTGAATTCACACCACATGATTATATGTCAAACAGTTTCCCCTTAAACCAGAGAAGCCTTAGAAGCATACAAAAGACGAGNTGCTAACCAGTTTTATCCGTACAAGGTAGGCTACATGATGGTCTCCGTGGTTATCTCCTCCATAATGCAATATTTGATCGCTTCTTTCTAATCATACTTATTTATAAAGTACCTAAATATTAATCTTCTTACCTTGTATAAAGTGTTCGCTGCAAATCCATGATTACACCGAGGGCTGCTACGTCCGTCACCGCCGTATCTTTCCTCGTTAAAAGTTACACAATAAAATGACAACTTTGGATTGTATCCTTATCCATTTGTTTTTAAAGTGAAATCAATTAAATAAAAGCAACATTAGGGTAGCAGATGTTTGTTTTCCAACAGGCTTTACAGGAGCAAATAGGTTGTTTTTATAACCATCATGGCGTAAAGGGCAGCGTTCTGAAGAGCGTGACGTCACAGGCAAAGGGTCAATCCCACTTTTTTCTTTTTTTGTTAAAGATTTTTTTGGCTCTAGTGGCATTTATTTGATAGTTAATTGACAGGAAAGTGGGTAATGAGAGAAGGGGGAAGACATGCAGCAAAGGTCACCAAGGCCGGGAATCGAACTGCGACAGCTGCGTCGAGGACTAAGGCCTCCTCCATATGTGGGTTGTGCTTAACCTCTGCGCCATCACAGCACACCCCGGGTCAATACCACTTTTTGTTAGTTTTTCACATGAAATTTAAATGAAATATATTTATGTTTATTGTTGTAATGTGACAAATGGGATATAAATGTTTTTACAAGCCACTGTACATCCATACATAAACCCAATTGTAAGACTTGAACCCAGGACTTTTTTGCTTCAAAGCACTACTCCACAATGGAGTCATCTTTGTTATTATTCTAAATATGCTTGCTGAAAGAAATTTCTTATAATAGGTCTTCGGTGGTTGACGGGGTATATTTTGATGGAACCGGCTTTGCTGAGATCAACTTTACGGCTAGTTCTCAACGTCAAGTGATCAAAATTATCCAGGACATCACACTCCTGTCACACAAAGGAATATTAGTCTTCCTCAAAAAGGAGGTAAAGACCCATTTCAATTGATTACAAAACTCCCACCTTTGTGTCAATGTTATCTGTTCATTGATGTCTGCTGTTGTTCTTCAGAGGTACTCACTGCTTTCTCTTATGTCCATCAGGCGAAGGTTTTGTGCCTGGCCGTACTTCAGGGACAGCTCCGTCTTTATTATGATTTCAACGGTACTTTGATTGAACAGCCGCCTGTCAGTGACGATTTGACACGGCTGAAGATTACTGATGGAGATTCAAAGACTGTGAGTCGGACATGTTTTTATCTTCTGTTTATCTTAAGTTTTGGCTATGAAGCTGCAGTTGGTAACCTTCTGACTTCCCATCATTCGCCTCCTATTTAGGAACAAAGGCAGCAAATTCTCACGTGCACACTGCAAAAACAAAATCTTATCATGTAATTTTGGTCTAGTTTCTAGTCCAAATATCTTAGTAAACTTAAAATAAGACAAAACTAACTTAAAAATAACTTTTCAGCAAGTAGCTTGTTTAAGTCAATAATTCCTTATTATTGATGAAAAAGTAAGCAGGAGCACGTTGAGCACAACACTGTATAGTTTTTGTTTCTCACTTTGTGTTATGCTTTAGTGCAACTGTGTCATTCCAGTAGCCAGAATGTTGAACATATTCTCACTTTTCTCATTCACTAAGAATATAAATCCTGCGTAGCTAGGTAACGGCGCAGTGCCCATCAAATATGACTCAACAATTGGGAGGTTTTTGAATTGGCTTGTTTTCCAGATGGCAAAAATCATTAACTTATTGTCAAAACACAGGTGGGTGCAGTAGAAACTGGGGATGCACATCGATAGTTTTCTCATTCCAAAAGCAGTAAATCTATAATATACATGAAATAAGAGCTAATGAGCAAAAATGCAAGCCCATCTTCTATTATCTAACACAGTGTTCTTTGTAGGATCGCGAGGGGAGTTGGTGCTTATCTCCATTTTGAAATGAAGAGTTATTATTATAAGTGATTACTGTCCAATCATTAGTTTCCAACCAAATAAAACAACTGATTGGACAGAGGCAGTGATTTTATATATTTTGCCATCAGTTTTAGTTTCAAGTTGCATTTTAATGAGCTGCTAATCCTGCTGCAGCATATTTACTGTATCATAATCTTCTTAGTCATTTAAACTGTAAATTCATTTTCCTCTTTTTATTGTTTTTCAGCTGACCATTACATTGATTAACACAGTCAGAGTAAAAAGGATCCAAGTACAGAAGAGCTTTGATCAAATCTTTACACTAACTTTAACAGAAGACTTACCAAATTTCAGTGATAAATACTATCTGGGAGGAGCACCAGAGGAGGAGATGCCTGAAAGGTGAGTGGAGCCACATGAAAGCATCTTTTTAAGTAAAGGAAATGTTTGCCAGTCTGGATTGAATGGTATCCATGATGGGTTATCATGATGCTGCCACTGCCATGTTTTATTGTGCACATGGTGTGTTCAGTTTCACTTGCATTGTTAGTTTTCTGCCTTTTTACAAATCTGATGTCAACATAGTGCAGTCCTAGTGTCTAGCTTTTTGTCAGTCTCTGTGTTTACAGACATGTAAACTATCAGTAACATATCCAACAATTTCTTAAACTGAACTAATATTCAACCCGAACAAGCTGAATAGATAACATTCACCATGCCATCACACATCAGGCATATAAAAGTGCAACTTTTTCTCCAGCTGAAAAAGTTACGAGTTCTTCACACAAAGAAAACAAAGTGTGTTTGCTTTTCAATAGATAAAGCACCATTACAGTCCTTGTATATTCAGATCAATGGGGATTCTACTGAACAACAATCACAAGAAAAATATTTTGGATGCTCAATTAAACTTTAAGAGCCAGATTGTTGATAAAATCTGCAAAACTGTTAGATGAAATGTAAACTGTTTCAAAATTATTAGAAACTGTCCAACACTTTGCTGTCAGAAATGTTGTTTTTCTCCATGATTCTCTCACGTCTGTATGGAGCTACTAGTACTAGTTTGACTGGCAGATTATTTCACTTATAACAAAATATTTTTCCCATGTTATAAGAGAAATAATCAGCCAATGACATTAGTCATTAAGGTGAGGTAAGGTGATTTTATTTATATAGCACATTTTCAGCAACAAGGCAATTCAAAGTGCTTTACAGGAATTAGAAAGAAATACAACAAAACAACAAACCAAAGGAAAGAGCAAGACTTAAAACAAGGCCAGATTTATTGCAGAAAAGTTAATTGTAAGTTAGTTTTGTCTTTTTTCAAGTGAATGGACAAAAATACTTGGTAAGATCATGATGTCATGATGATGTCATGTTGGTTTTACAAGCTAGAAAGAAATTGTGATTTATTATTTTAACAACTGATTATGGATCAGAACCAACAAAGAGAAAAAAGCTGGAGTGACTGATTCTAGAATTAGAATACCAAATGTAAAAAAATAAAATAGTAATAATAGTAGCATCGCTAAAGATGTGGATTTTAAGCTGTTGTCTTTTTTTGTCTCCCAGTTTAAAGCAGCTGTTTTCAGCGCGCAACTCTGTGAAGGCCTGCATCAAGAGCCTGAGGGACAGCGTCGGTTATGTCAACCTGAAGACCATAAAAGCCTCTGGAGTCAGTTCTGGCTGTAACAGCGACCTGCTGGTAAAAGAACACACTTACTGAAATCTACGGAGCTAAAATGATGACACCACTATCAGTGCACTTGAGAGGCAGGGTTTCATTTGCTACATAACAATGACTAGCAATGGTTTTAGCTGTGATGTTATTAAAATGACACTAACTCTTAAATGTATGCATAATATATAAAAGAAAAGGGATCCAGTGCTTTGCTGCTAGTACTCAACACTATGATAACTAGATGACAAGGTCAGGAAAAAGTTTTCATTAAGAAAAAAGTAGCAAGGGAGAGGGACGGAGGTCATGCTAACTTGACTATGACAAATATAACATGTAGATGTGCTGTGGAATTCTGTGTTTCGGTTCAGTTACAACATAAAAAATGCGACTTAACACCAACTCTGACAGATTATCAGTAGATCAGATGTTTAAATGAGCTAATTAGCAACTTTAAAATAGGTGTAACTGGAATTGCCTGCAGTGAACCGAACAGAAGTGACTGTTAATTCTTTTCCTTTTTGCTTTGCTCGTGTAAACAGCCTGAACTGTTTTGCGCTGAAGCATGGGAGGACCGTCCGTTAAAATGTTGTGTGTTTGTGCAGGTCGCTCGGAAAGCTCATTTCAGCGGGCAGAGCTACATGAAATTAGCCCCAAAAGATGTCAGCAGCCAGAAAGACAAATTCTACGCCAGCTTCAGCTTCAGAACAGAGCAGAAAAATGGACTCATGTTCTTCCACAAAGATCAGGTCAGAAAAGGAAAACTTTGATTCCCATGATCTTTCCTGCTTCCCCTTTCTATCAACTCTTTGAGCTTACTGTTTTCCATCCGTGGCTGCAGGAGGGAATCTGTCAAGTCTCTTTGCAGAAGGGCAACATTGTGTTGAGGGTGAACAACTCAGAGGTCAAGACTCAGAAGACGTACAACGACAACAACAACCACAATGTTGCTTTCTACATTGACCCCAATGGGTAAGACAGCCAGAGATGGTGTTTCATTATGATAATGTCGCAAAAATAAGTCTTCAGACTTGACTGACTTGTGGTCTCAGACTTGATCGTAGTGCCATTTTTTATCTCATGTACTAAAAAGTGAAAGGACGCCGGTATGCGGTTTACAGACTACAGCTGCTGTAATGTTTTCCTGTAAAAGGATGCAGTGGAACATTATGGGCTTTAATATAGACCGGTGTTCTCTTCCTGCCAAGCTAGTTGCAACAATGCAAGACACTTTGGGCTGGATGTTTTCCTCAGTGGACATGGTTTTAAATATTTTCTTTTCACATTTAAATCAGTAATTTATGGACTGTATGAAGTGGTGCTTTTGTCTGAATTCCTTGATGTTTTAGCTCCACAGCCCCTTCTTTTACCCTTCTTGCCGCATTCAGACATTTTTGTAGTTTGACAGCAGCTAATGCTATCATAAGCTAACGCAAGAACATCACTGAAAGCAATTGGATAATGTGTTCCCTAAGACAAAAATGGCAAAAACATTGCTAAACGTTTTGTGTTCAGTTTTTTCCAAAACAAAGTACAGTTATGTCCTTAAGGAGCTAACAGCTAGCACACTGCGGTAACATAACCAGAAGGCACGATGCTACCGCTAGCAAAACAACAGCCATTTATACACACAATAAGATAAACAGCTGATAGCTTAATCATTACAAAGACTAAAAAGCAGAAATTCAACAGTAACTAATTTAAATCTCGTTTTATTTTTTATCTTAAAACACAAATACTTATTTTACAGTTTATAAGTGTTTTAAATAATATGAAGCAGGTTTTTTGGATGGTGAATAAAATAAGTAGAATTGCTTTTGGAACATAATAAATTGAACATTGACAAACATATTTGATGTATTGATGATTCTGATGGCAGTACTTGACATTAATGGTTTCTCGATGGTTTTATTATGTAAAGCACTTTGAACTGCTTGTTTACTGAAATGTGCTACACAAATAAACCTAACTGATTGATTAAAGGGTAATATATTTTTTTTTAATGTTAATGTAATAACTTAAGTCTGAGGACAAACAGTCCTAACCTCAAATCCTGAAGAGTTAGGTGACCTGAAGTCACAAAAATGTTTCAGTTGTTAGGAATTTGACTTGGACTTGCTCCTCAAAGACTTGAGACTTGTGAATATCTAAAGCTGTTTTGTTGCTACAAGTGTTTGCTGACTGTCGGCTTCCACAGGTTTTATCTTTTAATGGACGACATAAAGGAGAGCAATGGCGGTAAACCGAACATAAAGCCGCCTGCTTACACGGGTCCTGAGGATGTCACCTTCCTGGGAGGATTACCTCAGCAAAACGTCGACAACCTCACAGGATGCATCAGCAATGTCATCATAAAGAGGTCTGAAAAGCCCTACGGAGAGAAACCATGTCTTCTTACAGATTATAAAAAATAACCTGACAAAAAAGGTTTTTAAATGATGGTCGTACAACTTTTACACTAACTTTTGATTTTGTGTGAATACTGCAGGCCGTTTTAACATAAAATCAGTTTTAAAATCAGTTTTACCAGTTTAATTACAGATAATTGAGAGATATTGCTGGAAGTGAATAAACAGGAAGTTCTTTGCAGATTTCTGAAGTGGTCTTAAATTGTATGAATTAAATTAATTTATTTAATTTCCATTTGGGATCAATAAAGTATTTTTGAATTTGAAATTAATTTTGACTCCTCAAAATGTAATTGAAGATATTTAATTATTATTCCTACTAGTGGGGTTGAAGATGCTGATTTCTTACCATTATGGATTGTCAAAATGTAGTTTTGTCTAGTTAGATTATTTTTTAGATATCCTCCATAATGTAATTATGGACAGTTGGACAAAAAAAACAACAGCCTGCCATACATCAATATTTGCTGCCTTTGCATATAACTAGGATGACGGGACTGCAGTTTTATAAACAAAAAGTAAAATATGTGCGTGATTTTTGCATCCAGGTCGAAAGGTGATCAAATGGTGGAGAACCTGCTGAAGGTGAACGAAAACGAGAACATTCTTCTGTCCTGTCCAGCAGCAAAAAAACCTCAGCAGATCATTGCAGCGGAGCCGAGACGCAAACAAAAGGTACAGTACAAACACACGATAGCTCTGCTCCTCCAGGCAAAAAGGAACCACCGCTTTTAGAAACTGTAAACACGTTTCTGTCTCAGGGTAATCAAAAGAAGCCGTCGAAATCTCGCAGCCGCAGTACCAGGGAGTCCTGCCAGGGGGAGCTGTCGCACCCCGAAAGCAGAGCGACGCATTTCAGCGGCTCCGCCCACAGCTACCAGAAATACGATCCAGTGGTCAGAACCATGTGAGTGTGAAAGTCCAAAAATGTTCTAGGAAAAATACTTGGAAATAAAAAAAACTCCTGAAATTTTAGACTAATTCTAATTAATTAGAATTTTTTTGAATTAAAGAAAAAATATTTGCACATTTTTTTCTTGCAAATCTGTAACTTTCTTTGGAGAAATCTTTTCTAGAAAATTTACAATAAATCTCAAAATCTGAATTTTAAAAAAAAATATAACTAGTTGCTGCCAAACTCTATCTACAGCGGCCCTGATATTGCATGTAGAGGAGCCCTAAATACTCACTAATTAAACTGATTTTTCCTCAGTTCTCATCTGTCGTTGGAGGTGAAGATCAACTCCTCTGATGGCTGCGTTCTGTACGCAGCCAGCAGGCAGCATGGCGGAGCGGCCATGTTGCTCAGCGTCCTAAAAGGTCACCTGATCCTCTCAGTGGAGTCAGCCAGGAGTAACGTCAAAGTGCGCAGCTTGAAGAAATACGACGACGAGCGGTGGCACCCGGTACATATAAAGACAAATAATTACATTAAACCAGCTAACCTTTCTTAATTTTTACTTGCTTCAAAATACTTCCAGAAAATCGGTACACTTTTTATAAAGCGTGGCGGAGAAAACAGAATGTTGAATGCTTGGGAGACAACTTGGTCACATTATAAGCTGCTTTCTTTCTGAAGATATTGATTTATTAATCCTCCACCACAACAATGATGAGTACCACAGGCTTTAAGGTTTCCAAAAACAATTATTTATGAAAACTGTTCCTGTTCCAGAAAAAATAGTTGTTGTTCCACATTAATGACTTGTTTAAGAGTTTCAGGCAAATAAAACTCGTTTAGAGCAGCAAATGTTTTTGAAAAACACAAATCACAATTTTACATAAATAGGAAATTTGTTGTCATTATTAAAGAATCACAATTTTATTTATATTTTTAGTATGTGATATTAAAAATAGTATTTTAAATATTAATTTTACAGTAGTACTTAAAATATTATTTTAAATAATACTTAAAATACTATTTGAATACAAAATTTAACACAAAATGTAACAATATTTAAATTAGCATTTAAATAGGATTTTAAAATACTATACAAGATAGTATTTTTAAATAGAACAGTATTTTAAAAGTGTTTAAAATATTATTTAAATAATAATTGACTCTCTACATCCTTATTAAAAAAAAGGATGCATCTCTTTTCTGGGGAATAGAAAAAAATAAGTAAAAAAATAAAAATGCACATAGAAAGACAAGAAAAAATTTATCTAAAAACCTTTTACTAGTATTTTTAGTGTCATTATTTATGGAAATTCAATGTAAATATTGTAGAAATAAACTCAAAAACTGGTAAGATATATTAACAAACAAGTTTTTAATTTAAAAACATCAGCTGGTTCTTCATTTTTATCCAAAGTTATTAAGAGCCACCAGCGGCTTGAAACCCCTGATCTAGTCGATCGCAATATGGGGGAAATCATGAAAGTATTGCTTCATAAATGGGCTCACCAGATGTTCCTCTATCACAGGTTTTCATTAAGCATGAAGGGAATAAAGTCAGTCTGACGGTGGATGGCATCAGCGGTCGAGCTAAGAGGATAGCCGGAGGCGGAAAGATCCGGATCAGCGGACCGTTATTCATCGGAGGAGTCCCGGCCTCAGTGAAGGTTAAACTTACTTATTTTAAAACTCACACAGCTAGCTTTCATCATTCATATGCTCAGGATATGTTAAAGTATTAAATGTTATTTTATTACTTTCCATGTCTGGAGGAGTCAAAGTATCGTAAAATGTCTGTTTCAGGAATTGTATTTTTTTCCAAATAAGGACCTAGATGCCTCTTAATTCCTGACTACAACGCAGGGCATTATGGGAAAATACAAGTTAGCAGGAGAAATGGCTCGAGGCCTTTAGTCACGACAAAAGAGAAATCCTACAACCGTTAAAATCTGATACCACAACAATTTTTTTTCTCATATTTTGTGAAGAACAAAGTTGCACTCAGTGTCTTCTCCAGAGGTTTTTTTGTTGTTCCCTTCAGTGGTTCTTGGCCCAGCGCCGCCACAGGCCAGGAGGGAAACAGATTGCTCAAAGGGTTTGGATCATTTGACACGGTACAGTGTGAAAATGTAACCATTGTTTCAACTGAACCAAGTCTACTGGACTATCAGGTGTGAAAACACCCTTAGAAACCGGGTCAGGGTTATGTATTCCAGAGTCAAGCATGAGGCCGTCTGTCCAACCCTAACTGGGTCATCAACAGGACAATGATCCAGAACAATAGCTCTTCTTTAACTCTCCCACAGTTTTAGTGTGACAAATGTCTGGGTCAAACAACAGACCGTCAGTTTCCAAAAGCAAGCGCACACGGGGTCAATGTGACCCAAAAAGACCACGAGGGTTTAAGTCCCACTGAGGATAACTGGCTATGTTCTGGAGACAGAAATAAGGTTAGAAAGGTGCACACCTTTATCAGACGTCATTCTCACTGTTTGTGTCTGAACTCCAGCCGAAACGTTTTGATGGTTTCATCGGATGTGTCAAGGACCTGAAACTGAACGCAGTTCCTGCAGGAAGCCCATCGTTCAGCCAGGGGGCGGTTCCATGCTTCCAGAACCCTCTGCAACCTGGAGCATACTTCTCCAAACAGGGAGGACACCTGAAGATTGGTAGCTACCCTCCCCGTCTTTTCCACGTTTCAGCTGTTTGAAACCTTTTTTGGTCACAGTATCCACTGATTGACGTGTCTCTGCCTCCTGGCAGATGACTCTTTGGTTCTGGGTCGAGACCTAGAGATCCAGCTGGAAGTTCGACCCGCTTCAGACTCTGGGCTGCTGTTATATGCTGGAACTTCATCTGACCAATACCTGAGCTTGTTCCTAAGCCAGGGAGAGGTGAGTAAAGGTTTCCCCAAAAACAAGAGAAACAGCAGGAAGAAGGTGGAGATTTTTCTTGTCGTCGTTCAAGAAATCCTAAAAATAAAACCTGAGGAAGATGTTTTTGTGTCTAGGTGACTGTTTCAGTAATCAGTGGCAAAGGTGAATTCTCTACCTCGCTAATGCCTGAAGAACCTCTGTGTAACAGGCGCTGGCACACAATCAAAGGTGGGTTTACAGCAACCAGTCATCTTCCCCAAACAGAACCGCTCTCCGTTAATGCTGATGTATTCTTCCAGTGGAGAAGAGGAACAACGTTCTGAAGTTGTTTGTGGATGGAAGCGCAGAGAAGAGCACGGGCCCCAAACAGAACCGTTCTGCAGGGACCAAAGCTACCATGTACCTTGGCGGTGCACCAAGTGAGTACAATATCACAGTTCTCCGCACAATTTCAGGGTTTCCTCTTTGTCTTTAAAGAAAGTGTCTGCTAATGCTCACACATATCCCAGCCACAAGTATTTCTGTGGCTGGGATATTGAAGAGGATATTAAAAAAAATCTAAAATCAACTTTTTTGAGCTTCATGCACCTCCCCGCATCTTCATGCTCAGCTCCTTCAGACTACTGGCAGCAACATTAGCAAATACCTGGTGAGACTGCACATCTGCTGAACTACTTCTCAGTTCAACGCTCCTAAGAGAACGGATGTAAACGGCATCACAGAGAAGCGCTGTTGAGAAATCACAAAATTTTGACTTCACAATTTAACGACTTAAAATTGACCTCCATCTCTTTAAGTTATGTTTGATATGTACAGCATTTACAAAAACTGAAGGTAACATAGTTGCTTGTGTAATGTAAAATAGGTGGAGATGCTATGGGTCAATCATATCGCAATTTCAAAGTTTTCTTGATATTGGGGGCACTGGGCCACCCTAGATCTGCTGCTTGTCACTGTACAGAACTAAAAACTGAAGGAGACAGAACCTTTTCTTCTGTGGTTCAATGTCAATGTCTGATGAAAATGTTCTCCACTAATGGTTTGAAATTCCCCACTTTTTCTTTTACACCATAATAGCTTAATGCATGACAAAACAGAGGCCCATTATGTAGAAAATTTGATATCACCCTTAATTATCCAGTCTATTAATATAGGAGGGGATGGATTTTAATTTCTGAGCTTGCCAATATCTGCATCCCCTGTCTATTGTCCTATTGATATGAAACTTGTACTAGTAGCTCATAGAACAAGCGTGATTTGCTCTTTATTTCTCCATGTTAGAAGGGAGATGCATTTTTTGGCAGTCAATTATTAACCCCCCAGTATCTGCATGCCTTATGTATTTCCCCAAAATATTGTCCTATTGATATGAAACTCATACCAGCAGTTAAGAGAACAAATATGATTATGTAGAAATTATGTTCTTTTCCTTCCCTGGGCCATTAACTCTTCTTACAGGGCTTGCTAACTCTTTAGTGCCAAGCTTTTCTTTGCACATAATGTACCTAGAATCTTATGGGGCAAAAGAAGTGTAGCAAATGGCGATATTTGCTACACAGATGCAGAAAAAGCTAGCTAGCTAGCTAGCTAGTTTGCTAGCTGCTAGTTAGCGGTAGCGGCAACCGCCTGGCGTCACAGATTGCGCGTGACTCAAACTTTCAATGGAAAAGTCCCTTGTAAAAAATAAAACATAGAATATATACGTCAAAATAGTACTGCCTTGACAAAATTTAAGAGCCTTAATTAAAGTATTTACGAAGATAATATTGCTTCCGCGATCCCTAGTGACTGGGTCCTCCTGCTTCTGCAAAAAATAATCTTCTAACGGTTATTCGGCAGATTTTCCTCCTCCTTTGAAACGCTGTACAGTTTTATCTAATTTAACATCTGGCTTCTTCTTATCATTAAAGGGGGTACTTTTTTTTATCAAAAGAGCAACTTCAAAAATGAAATAACATACGCCCGTTTTTCTAATCACTCTGTAAACTTTCTTTTGTCCGCCAGGTGGGGTCGCAGCGGCCAGCCATCCTAACGGGTTTCCGGTGTTCCACGGGTGTTTCCGCCATGTTAGCATCAACCGTCGACCCGTGACGCTGTCCGGACCGCTGTCTGTTCACGGAGCCGTCGGAACCCGAGGCTGCCCTCACATGTAGAGCCTTCACATTCCCTGACAGCAAAATACTGGTGGTGGGTGTCATGTTACTGTAGCTAATTTAAAATATATATTAATATTTATTTTATTCTTTGGGGGAGAAAAAAAAGCATATTTTATATTTTCACGTTTTCGTGCCATGTCTGTAATTATTTTCACATAAAGATGCACTGATATAAAATTAAAATGTAAAAAAAAAAATTAATAATACTCCAATTTTGCGATATTTCATGAAAGTGTTGTGTTCCGACTTCCATACACTAATATTTATGACAATGGGGCTTCATGAACTGGCTAAATTCATAGAAATTGATGGATTCATTTTTTTTTTAATTGAGCTAACTTAAATAAGCTGTTAAATTTTTGTAAATGTAAGAAAATTTTCAGTTTTTTCAGTCACATAAAAAAATCGCTGCAAACCAATAATTTTGACCTTAAATCACCCCTTCTCTATAATTATTTACCTTTTCTTAAACCAACTTTCTCATATGATCTGCACCCCTTTTATTTTTGAACCCATGTAACAAACAAGAAAATGAAGCTTTTTTTTGTGTGCTAACATTTTTAAAGTGTCTCAATGAATAAGCTGCAACTCCCAGCCCTCATTTGTTTGAATAAAGTCTTTTTCATATAAAACTAGACGCTTAAGTGTTTTTCAGTTTGTACTTTAATAAAGATCTAGTCCCAAAAAGCCAACGGCAGACAGTACTTCAACCGCAGAAAGCAAAACTTAAGGCTTAGTCGCAGCAAGAGAGACGTCTACATGGTGTAGAAACATTGCCTTTGGTATATAAAAACATTTAAGACAATGCTGAAGTGGGAGGAAAAGTAAACAAAAAGTAGAGAGCGATGGGACTTGGCAGGCTGGTCTCTAATCTAGACTCATGTCTTCGTCATCTTCTTTCTTCTCTTTGGAGTCTCCTTTGCTGCCCTGCATAGCTCTGGCAAACGCTTCCACATCTGAGGAGGAAACAGAAACATGTTTGAGATGCAGAAAGACCAGATTTCTTAAAAATAGATGGACTAATGCGTCAAGGAGCTGCCTGCCCCAAAAGCAGTGGAGACCGTCTGAATTTCAGATCTAACCGCTACATCAATGCGTCATGTGAACTTTAAGATGTAGCAAAAGACCCCAGAAAATGCAAATTAGTCGTATTTCCATGTACTAAGAGCGAATCAACCAGTCTACGTGAAACATAGAAATTTTAATTTTGCAGTTTCTATCAACATTTTCTAATGCAATACTTCAGAAAGCACATAGAAACACAGCTAAGTTGGATTTAAAAACAGAGATTTACCTTAAATATTAGTTCCTGCTCCTTTGGCAGCTAAGGCAGGAATTAGCTCAATTTGGAAATGACTAGTTAAAATCTGTTTGTACGATGGAGTATACCTAGTTCCCGCAAGTCTGAACCGGATGTGATCAGCGCCATCTTGGTAGGCAAGCACAGCACAAAGCATAGATGAACCATGGCTTCCAGACAAACAAAATGGCTGCCGTCAGCATCAACCCATATGAGAAAGATGATGGAAACATGTCAGACGATGTGGACGAGTTGCCTCCGATCTACTGCAGTTCACCAGCCAGTGAACAGGAAGAGTGCGTACACAATGGAGGAGCTTTGCGGCTTGAAATCCACAGATGGATACAATCAATGTTTCAACAAATTTATACAGATCGTACGAACTCTTCGTGGGAATAACAAGGTTCTGGTGTCTGGCAGAGTAACTACATGTTCGCCTTAGCTATCAGATAAAAGCTACATTAGCTAAGCTAATTTTGCTAGTTTGGCAGTTAATGTCACTGATATTTATCTTAGTACTAAACAGGTAGGTAGAGGTCAAAACAGAGTTACAATGTGCTTGCATTGTGTACAAATTAGATATGAATGAGGCAAGAGCTTGTTCTACTGTTGCCATAGCAACTGCCTACCAAGATGGCGGTCAGTAACGAAGATCCCAGAAGTGACACGTCACATAACTACGCATTAAAGCCGTTATAAAGGGAAAAAATGGTAATTTAGTAAATATCTGACAACATTTTAAAATTTATTTTAAATTTACAAAATAAAACTTTCCATGATGTAAGGGGGTGTTTTTGTCCTACCTCCCCTGTTGGCAGCGTCCACAGCTTCAGCCGACAGACCGAACTGATTCATCAGCGGGCCGAGCTGCCCCGAAGCCAAAGCGCTGCTGAACATACTCATGGACTGAAGTCAGACAGAAACCAGAGTCAGAACCGAACCAAACAGATGAAGAACCGTCCATGCCTGGTCTGATTCTACCTGCTGGAACTGCGGCGAGTTCAGGGTGTTCTGGATCTCTTCGGTGCTCTGCAGTAGGCTCTCTCCGCTGGGGAGGAAGGGGAGGAGCCTCTGCTGGACTTCAGGGTTGGTCAGGATGGGAGCCATCATCTCCGGGGTGCAAACGCTCGCCAGGTCCACTGGAGGAGACAAACCACATCGTTAGCTGGAGCGTCCTCCGTCTCCCTGCAGCAGCAGAGCGAACCCGACGGCCTGCTGACCTGCAGATCCCTGCGCCGCTGCAGCGGCTGCAGGAACGTTCATGTTGGCCAGGATGCTCTGCAGGTCGCTGAGCTGGATGGGCTGGTGAGGAGGAGGGCTTCCAACGGAGGCCGGCGTCACAGGGGCCTGAGCTGGAGCTGCAAGTGGGGAAAAAACAGCAAGGAGTTCAGGACAGAGACGGTCAATTTGGTTGATTTAAAACAGGAAATGCAGCAAATGTGGTAGTTTTGTCCCCAACTGAACCGAGTCTACTAGACTTTCACATGTGAAAACAACTTAAATTTAAAATCAATCCACAGATGGCGGCGTCCATTATTAATTTGGTAAACGGGGAGCTGCTATGGGGTCGTAAATCGTTCACACAGAAGTCCGATTAATTGGTAGCATGAACTACTAATTAATCAGAACTGGGCATCGAGATCTGCAGTGAGACAGAATTAAGGTGGTTGTACCTGGAGCAGCAGGGGCAGCAGCAGCAGTAGTGGCAGGAGCGGAGGCGGCAGGAGGCGTAGGCGTGGCCGGTGCCTGGGTGGAGCTCAGTCTCGGGGCTGCAGCTGATGAAGAGGCGGCCGTGGCTGCTTGGCTTCTAGAGCTGAGGTTAGCATGGAGACCGGGAGTTAGCGTCACGCTAGAGGAGGAAGTCTCGACGATGCAGAGGTGAGGTCTTACCTGGATGAGGAGCTGCTGGCGGGCGGGCCGCCGCTGCCTAGCAGGTTCGCCAGTCCAGGTCCGGCTAACGCTCCCAGGCCTCCTTACACAAACCAGAACAAATCTATAAAAGCTGCTCTGATGAAGCATTCAGGCTTTACAACAGGCCTGCACAATATAACCCATCACAATCGTCATGGCAACATCAATTTCAGCAGGCACTCATTTCCCTCGATTCCCCATTTGGTGATGACTAAACTAATAAAACATGGTGGTGAAGGAAAAGAAGTCCAAAAAAACTGACTCCACTGGGATATTCAGCGAGTGACAAAAAAAAGTGGGAAAAAAAAAAAAGTTTTTATTGCAATTTTGTGACGCATCGATTTCCATACGGCTGAAAAACCACTTCACCCAAGGGCAAAAACGTTTCATTTAAAAAAATTGGAGGTTTTTTTTTTTTAAATTAAGCAAATTTATTTTCTTAATTTCAATTTGTGCAATTCTACGGCTAATAGAGACACAGCTAGTGAAAGCTAAAGCGTTACTCAGAGTGCCTCACCCAGTCCACCGAGCCCCGTCGGACCGATCAGCTGCATCAGCTGGTTGTGGCTCATATTTCCCAGCAGGTTCTGCAGGCCGCCCTCTCCGCCCAGCGCCGACAGCTCGTGGCCGCTGCCGCCTCCGCTGCCCGGAGCGCCAGGAATGGGAGGGTTGTTCAGGAACTCGTTCACCTTACGGCAGAACTCCTCATCTTTGTCCGTTTTGGGCTCCTGAGTTGACAGTTTGAGAAGTTAATCATGTCTTATATCCACTTAGATTTCCATTCAGCAGATTAGCAGCGTCTTCCCACCTGCATCCAGAAGAAGAGCCTTTTGGAGCCAGCCTTGAACTTCAGCACATAGACGCGTCCCGTGGTGCACTGGTTCACTCTCTTAAACTCACAGTCATCAGGGAAGATGATCAGATCCTGTGGGACATTTCAGTTCTGATTTAGTTCTACTGGAAAGTAAGCCTCATAATCAATCAAAAATGATAAAGATCAGTTATTCTTTATTATTTACTTTAGTCTGTTGAGTTTTTGCAGAAAATCCCCAAGCATTTTTTTTTTTTTTGCTATTGTGAGTTTATTCTAAACTTTCAGCAAAAAATGGTCAAAAACATTGAGTTTATGTGATGCTAACTCCCACCTGCAGGTGGCAGTATTTCTTCTACTTCACTGCTGCCTCTGCCTTACTTATCAGGTGATATGGTAACAATGAAACCACATTTAAATAAAGAAATTTATCGCAAAAATATTGTATTACAATTTCTTGTAAATATTCTTAATGCACAAAAAGACAGAAATCAGATATAGTTTAATAACTTTATTATTTATATCAGCCACTTCATTTTTTGGGCAGAAATTCAGTTACAAATTTTTTTATATATGCCTGAATTCTCGCTATTGCATAAAGTTTACTGCAAATTTTACGCAAAAATTGTCAAAAAGATTTGGTTTAAGAAATGGTAACTCCAACCTGCAGTATTTCTTCCTTCTACTACACTGCTCCCTCTGCTTTACTTCATATCATGTTATAAATATAAAAAGCAACATTTAAATAAGAAAATCTATCTCAAATATTTCTCAGTTCCTTGCTAATATTCCTAGAGTACCACCACAATCAGGGATTTTGATTGCAAAAAACCCAAAACCAATTATTAAATCCTGGGACAGTTTTAAGCGTTACGTTTGTAAATGAAGAATCAAAGCATGAATGTTTTGCCAACCCACAGCAAAACGCATCAGAACATCTCAAGTAACGAGAAGGTAAGGAAATTATTTTGGTTCAATTTAGTTTAAAATAGAAAATACATTACTATCTACACATAATATGACAGCACTGTTAAGTGAAATAATTTCCAATCACATTATGAAAGTAATAAAGATTTCAGATTTCACTGAATGTGTTTTTAAATTATTTGCTTAATTTAAGGATAAAATCTTCACTTACATCATCAACGTTCCCGGTGGTTCTGTCCTTCCAGCAGAAATGGATCAGGGAGTCATCGGACTGCTGGATGTACACCAAGCCCTTGCGTTTGTCGGGCGTAACCGTGTTCCCCTTCAGGCTCATTTTACCAGCACGAAACTCCACCAGGTACTTGCTAGAGCTTCCCCTTGAGCCGCTGACCAGACTTGGAAACAGAGCACCCGACGACATCTTTACTCCCAAACTGAGGAAAAAAACAACAACGCCACAGCAACAACATGTCAGTTTTCTGAGGTCATGTCTTTTACAGAATCAGTTGCCATCTTGGTCCAAACTGCTGACTGTGTAGTTTTTTTAAATGTTAAAAAAAAGAAAGACAAGAAATGTAAAATTATTTATTCATAATAAGTGGTCAGGTTAAATAACTAAGATTTTATTAGAGATCAAAAATGTTTGATCAAACATCTGTCCATAATTGAGCACCTCTTCCTCGTTATCTGCCAAATCCTACTGAAATCAGTTAATTTTCCCATATTCATCACAAATTATAGCAAATTACATTAGCTTGGTGTTTGGTTAGACATTTTATTAATTTGTTAAATTTAAATTGGTGAGTTTTTTACAGCTGGATCATATGGGGGGGGAGGGGAGTTGCGGATCGCCATATTGGGTTCTACAGCCGGGGTTGTTGATAAAACCCAGATTTCAGGGAGTGACCCAGTTGAAGTTGTTTACAAGAAAGTTGTTCTTCAAATGCAATCAGAATTTAACTAAAAGTAAAAATCCTACGTACTTTTTCTGCAAAGAAAAATATTGCTCATCTTAGACACACATCCTTGACTGAACAAAGAATTACTTTTTAATTATAAACAACTTTCTAACCCTCCAGATAAAGAACAATGCTGTAAAAGTTAGCTTTGCAAAGCTATCTGTCAAACGTTTTCTGTTTTATCTTATGACTAACACCTTATGATTTAATTTAGTTAATGCCTTGCTTTAACTTGTGCGGTGAGTTTGCGTTCACTAAATTAAATTTTAACAGTTAAGCCACGAAGTTGTCGTTAGCTGTGTGTAGTTCTGGTTGTCTATGCTAACGTTAGCCCATGACATGGCTAAACAGATGAACGACTAAAGGCCAAAGTCTTGCAGAACAACCACCTAAGTTGTTCAAGGAAATAAACACACACACAAGACTCCTTTAAAAATAACAAACTTATTTTTTTTTTAAACTTACATTTAAGTAATTGCGGCTAAATCTTGAAATATCTCAGAAGTTTTCTCTCCGCTGCGTCTGTTACGCCACTTACGTAGAATGAGTGAACTTCCTGTTCATCGTGGACGCGCCTGCTGTGAGTGGATGCGCACGCATTTCGGAGTTTTATGGCAAGCCTTAGCGTCAACAATAATACAATTCAATTTAAAAAACACGTCATCGATTCCAAAGGGAAATTAAATGTTGTAACCCATATTATTCAAAGTTTTTTTTACAAATATATGTGTGCTTAGATGCACATAAATATGGCATACCTTATCATAATTTACATTTATGAGTTGTTCTAATGAGTAAATAATGTGCTTCACATACATGCTAATGCACGGTGATAGCCTAGTAATACAACTGTTTTGAACAAACTGTTATTTTGTTATGCAGAACTTTTATCATAATGAGCAGATTTATTCTCACAGAAAGTGAGCTTTTCTTACCTCAAAATTCCTCAATTTTACAGCACATTTATCGTTTTTTTTTTGTTGTTTTTTTGTTTGTTGTTTTTATCTTGGATTTATGTTGACGTGGACTTACATTCATAACGTTGAATAAATAAAAAAGGAATACACACACAAAAAAAGTCTAACTTGAAATGTCACAACTTCGGATTTACGGATTATTGTTGATGCTAACGGCTTGCCATAATGTGGGAGGAGTTTTCCTAGGGATCGCTGTCACGGACTGACAGGTCGCTCCCACCCGGTGTAGCCGTTAGCTCGGCGGTACTTTCTGCTGCTGCCTTGTCTTGGAATGCTTTAGCGGCAGAGAGCGAAGCGAAAACTGAGATGCGAGAACAATAAAACTCCAAGTTGGCTTCGTTCAAAAAGGAAAATAACAACAACCAAATCACTCCGGTTGGAAAGAAAGAGGTAAGAAACGCACAGAGTTAGCCGAGGGGGCTAACATTAGCCAGCTTTGCTGCCCTTGGATTAGTTAGCGAGCAAAGTGCTAAATGTAGGCAAGGATATGGACTAGCTAAACACCCCTGTTAACAAACATGGATGCTGGTTGCTTTCGTTTGATGCGGTGCTTGGAGATTATCCGCTTTAACCACAGTTTGATTCCGGAACCAACCTGTTTTTGGTTCGCTTCTCAAATCTTTGCTCAGTTAAGTTATAACTACAATTCGGAATACCGCTACTTCCACTATGACAGGTTTAGTTCTTGTAGTAACCTGTAGTAGTTGGGAGATAAATCTGGATTTACATTCTGCGCTTTTGATGTCTCAGCTGACGTCTGTGTTTGAAACGTTAGGAGAGACAGGTGCATTTAGGCTGATGGATAAATATGGCTTTTATTTTTATGTTTTGCCTTTTCAGCTGCTACAGAGCAGTAGGAGACGTCACTGACTTTGTTTCTAACGCATTATGTTTGAATCGTGATCGAAATAATTCACGAATTAAAATAAAAACTTTTTTAAAGCCGGTTATTTATTTAGATTTGCAGATATTTTCCTATCTTTGAAAGATTTCGCTATCCAGGATATTCAGATTAGCTAAAAAAAAAAAGTAAGTTATATGTAATATACACTTTATTCCCTCAGTAGCAGTCACTGGAAATTCACCAATCAGACATAAATGGGAATAAGTGACTAATAAAATGCATCAAAGCAACATCCCACCATTTTGAATCTATAAATATAACCAACATCATGTTCTCTTTGATGAGTTTAGGCAAGGGAGATGTTGTCTTGTAATCCCTTCATTTTCTATTTGATTCTATCAAGGAACCTGTGGTACATTTTTTGTGCAGTTCTTGCAGTTCAAATTTCCCTGTATGTGAGTTTAAAACACCTTTTTAATATTCGATTTCACTTTTAAGAGGAACAAGAACATGTGAATAAATAACGGAAGTGTTTGACATTTTGTTTTTTAGATTTTATTGTTTGTTTTTTAGGATTCTTTTTCATCCAACCACAGTCCTAATTAAAGGTATTTTTTAAATACATTGAAGTTAAACAATTAGTTGCTTTTAGAGCAGCAGATAACGATTATTTGAGTTATCAAATATTCTGACGATTAATCAATTAATCAGATAAAAAAATTGAGACATTCTGCTTATTTTTAATGTAACCACATAAGTCTTAGAAATACATTAAAAATTTCAAATGAAGAAATGAGTCAGTTAATTTTTTAATAACAAAATAATCCTTTTACTCCATACAATATTATAGCATAACGTTCCTTTGCTTGATTATTAACATTTTCTGCTATTCTGAGGCGTTGTTACCTTAACTAATGGGTGCAGTGTAATCTGTTACTTTTTTTAATCAATTGATTAAAAATTGGACACCAATAAGTGCTTCATCAGATATTTATTTACAAAAATAGAACGTGTGGTAGTACGTGTTTACAGACAGAGAGTGTCTTTTCATCTTAAATGCAAAATGTAAATATTTTTATAGTTTTGGCTTAATTGTTGCTCTGACTGTACGGTTCTTTTAGCAAATGGTTGTTCTGTGTTCGGATTAATGATTATTTCTTTACTAACTTAGTAGATGATTGTTACAATAATTGATTAATCACAATCAGTCCGATTAATCGTTTCAGCCCTAGTTCCTTTTAAATATGTTAAAGTCCAAAATGAATGTGCAATTATGTTTCTTTAGTTGCAACTTGTAATTCATTAGAAAAAAGCAAAAATCATATGTACAAATATGGCCTCAGCTAGTTAGAAAATGGTTTATATCCCAGTAGGATCTGAAGGAAGTATCACCAGAGTGTGAAAACTGAAAGTTAAAGCCACTCAGTCACATGCAGCTGACATGAACCTGGGTGAGGTTTAACAGCTTCCGACTGTCAGCAATAAAAACTGTAACTTGACATTGTAAATGCTGCAATAAAAGACAGAAGGAAACCAAGAGCAGCTCTAAATAGTTGCTCTAATAGTTCATTTTAGTTTTACAGCCATTTATAAAACAAAACTGCACAAATATTGGTAATATAAAGAATCAGGAGCAATAAAATCTCACAACAATTCAGAACCTCAATGACACAAACCTAAAAGAAGCATAATAGTATAAAATTTATACTATTACACTCCAATAAGTACAAAAAAACCTCTAACATAGAATCCTAAAAGTCTGTAAACTTTGAGCTGATCTTACATGGATCTAAAAATTAACTCAGTAAAATTCCCCTGCGGTCTTCTGAATAATAGGTTACGAAGGTAAATCCATATGCAGTCGATCCAGGTTGCTTTAGTAGAGATCATTCCTCCTTTGTGCTGCGCTGTTGGCGTGTCTGCATCCATTAAGAAAACCAACGAGTGAATGCTGACAGAGTGCCGATTCACCATCCGCTAATGAATTGGACTGGCCGTTTATAGCCAACGGAGGATGAATCTCTGTGTGAAACACGAAGTGCTTTGCTGGCACTCTTAATTTTAAATTAATTAGAACTTTTAAATTAAATTAGTTTTGCTTCAAATGTAATCACCAGTTTACTTAAGTAATGACTGATTAATAATATGTTAAGCCAGTGGTGACCAAAATACCCAAACTGAAAGTATTTATTCCCCAATTAACAACACAAAAATATAATTACAAAACAATAAATACAACGTTCACATAAATGTATACACTTATTTACCTTTGAGATTTTCTTCTACAACCTTTGCTGTTTAGCCAAGTGAAATGGATGGGTCTACCAAAGTCTGCGTTTGAATGGCAGTGGCACAACTTATTAAATATAAAAATAAGGCCTAACTAAGGAAAAATTCTTTGTGTTTTACTTAACATTTTCCGCTTAAGAAGATATAAACTTTAGAGATGCACAATATATCGGCACTACCATCGGTGTCTGCCGATGTTAGTAATTTTTTAACATATCTATATCTGTCCGATAAGTGAAACTGGGCTAATATGACCAACTGATAATTGTTTTCATCTTGTTGCTGTCTGTTTCTGGTCAGGTTTTTTTTTTTTTTTCAAAGGTGTGGAGATGTGCAGAGAAATATTTATAATATCGATAAATATCAATATTGGCATTAACAGCAAAATTAATATTGGCCCAAATTTTCATATCTGTGCATCTCTAATAAACTTACCACGGAAAATTTTATCCTAAAAAAATTTACAAAAATGTTTATGGCTAAATTCGTGCCATTCTTAAATTATTGGTCACCAAAATGAATTCAAAGGCTGCACTTTGGACATATTATTATTGATAATTATTGATTAGCCTTTTGTTTTAAATACCTGAAATTCTATCAAACTAGTGGTGTGACCTTTCCTGTGTTCTGTTTTATCCTGTTTTCACTCCATGTTGTATTTTATTTTTAAGCTGTTATGAGGCTCAGTGGCAAAACAACAAAAAAAGTTATTCAGCAACCTGTTGCTAGGTAACCAGGAGTTACCCAGCAGGTCGTTGCTAGGTAACCGAAGAACGAGTGAGTCAGTTGAGTTAACCAGACTTTAATGCCCTGTGAGCAATAAATGACTTAGGCCATAACTTTAGGAAGGTGAAGATATTGGATATTCCATTAGATGTATGACCTATTGAAATTGATCATGTGTTTATCATGATATTATTGATTTACTATTCAGTGCTGCTTTAAACTAATGGATCGTTGCTGATTGCATCATTTTGTAGCAGCGTTTTTTCGTTGTTATCTCTGAGGAGCCAAACAGAAAGTCATTCTGCGTCATCTTCAGTTGAAAGCAGAAACTGAGGTTAGATGAGTTTGGATAGGAACCCAACTATTTTTTTATCTGTGTTGATTCTGCATTTCAAAACACTTCAGTCCTCAGTTTTATGCTGGTTTTCAGTTTGAGCTGCGGTTCAAACGGATCAGTTGGAGCTCAGAATCAGAGCGGGCGTTTAGTTTGCTGTGTGTTTACAGCAGCTGTGTTTACTTTATGTCGGTTATAACAATGAGGTCTCTTTGCTGATTCTAAATAAACTTTAAATTCTAATGAACATTTAACACTGGACCTGGAAGACGTTTTAAACATCCAAAATAAATAAACAAAACAAGAGAAACAACAAACAAAATGAATTATGAAGTAGATTATTTGAGACCAAAGCACCAGACTGAAGACTTTTACCATTCAGCTTTTGGTAGGAAAAGAGAAACGATAAATCAGACAAAAGGGAATTAATGAGGTAGTTTTAATTTATTATTGCAATTAATTGATTTATCATCCCAGACAGAGGAGTTTGTCCATCTCAAATCCAACCGTACTGAACCAAACTTGAACCTTTTTAACCTCCCCGTTTATTCAAACAGACGTACATGTTTCCCTTATTTCTTTATTTTAATCCGTCTGTGAAAATGAGTTGCGTTAAGACGTAAAAAGTTTGTAGAAAGTCTCCCAGTTACAGACAAACGTTGGCCAGGTGAAATGTGATTGGCCGCTGTGTGAAGCGTCCTGAACGGGTCAGACGTGATCGTTCACACACACCAGAACGGTGTCAGTGTGCCGGTAATCCCGCCGCTCCTGATGAATTGTCCTCATTGGGTAATCCTGGCCAAGGAAGGGCGGAGAATTGTGTTACTTCTGGTTAATCTCCAGAAGTAACACAAGAAGTGCATGGCGGCCAATTCAGTACTGACCATATGGCGTCACGACGGACTCCTCAGAGGATGGCTGGTTCTTGTTCAGTTCTCTCTGACTCCGTCTGAATACAGGTTTTGGTTTTTCTTCAGATTTTTCTTTGTTTTAAAGGGGACATTTTTATATAAAATTCACATTTTGCACATTTTTGGGTCTCAACAGCTTCTAAAGACTAAGAACTTAAAAAAAAAACACCCAGCTGTTCTTTTGGCACTAAGTTAATGTTTCTTTCATTGTCTGGAAATGAGCTGTTTCCAAAAAAAATCCTGCCATTGTCTAGCAACCCCAGCAGAACTCCAGAATGTTGGGTCAACTGGATTTATGCGCCAAACAATGGCTGCTGGAAAAGACAAGTGTTTTGTTGTTGACTTATGTTGAGAACGAGGATCTCAATCGATGAATCATAATTTGTATTGACACACGGAGCATAAAATCAGCCAAGAAAAGCATTCAGACTTTACTTATTTTATTAACTTTCAGCGCTGAAAGGAGACGCTTTACCATTAGAAGAGTTTCTAAAAAAGTCTGTGCAGCGTCTCCTTCGTTCTCAACACTTACCATCCAGAAATCACTTGCTGCATTCTTGTCCATTGTGCAGGAGGCTCCACTTCTGCTTTTCAAAGATGATCACAAATAATAATCTACAAATGTAGTAATTGATTAACTGGAGTGAACAGACTCAAAAAAGAAACATTTGCTAGAGAACAACACACTGAGATCAGTAACCCAAAGCTTTTCAAGAAAATAAAGACATTTTGTATTTAAGATGGAAAAAGAAAAACTTTGTAAATATGTTTTACCCAGAACTCCTCATGTGGCAGTGTTAGATTCAAATCATTCAAATTCTGTAAAAAAAAAAATTTAAAAAAAAAGTGTATTACGCACCTTTTGTTATCCAATTAATTAGATTAATTATTCATAAGTCTTTTCAGATGTTGATGTTTGAGGTATTTTGCATCTTTTGGTACAAATAAGCAAGTGTTCACTAACGTAACGCTGTTGTTGAGTTTTAGGCAATAATACATTTACTTTCTTCATTAGAAAAGGAATTTAATTGTTTATTTGTATCTTTTAATATATTTCTAATATTGTATTAATAAAGCCTGAGGTGAAGAATATGCAGATCTTTCCATCCTATTAATCGTCAAAGTAATCAATATTTCTGCTGTTTATTCATTGCTGAACTGCAGGATAAATCAGGGTGGGTTGCATGCTGCTATTCTGTAGTTGTCTGCAGCAGCCTTCAATATTTTAATATGATTTTTTAAATGAAATGTGTCCTCCACTGTTTGTTTTTGCCTATTCAAGGGAGAAGCTGAGTGAGAAGGGAAGAAGAGAGCAGCAGAGCGGCCATGGACCACCAGCGGCAGAGGACTCTGTCCACTTCAGGAGAATCACTCTACGTTGTCCTCGGAATCGACAAGAACGCCACAACAGAGGACATCAAGAAATGTTACAGGTGTGCAATAATGTCAACGAACAGGGGAAGGAAATCCCTCTGTTGCTGTGATGTTTTCTACCACTAGAGGGAGGCAGGGAGCTGTAAGACAGGCTTTCTAAACGTCATCCAGCCTTTTGTCCCATCATTAGGAGACTATGAGAGGGATTTCAGAAACAAACAGGAGAACATTACTCATGTGAAGTGGTGCAACTAACCCTGAGACATCATAGGGATTCTTATTAAATTCAAGATTAAGGAGAGGAGAAGGCATGTTTGGTACCAATACTGGAGCATCCGGACCCAGTTAGGCCTCCTTCCAATTCTGCCATGAATAAAAAGTGAGAATCTTGTTCCTAGGTCTGGTTAAAGTGCCAAACAAAACAAAAATAATTTATCTAGTTTGGGATAAAGGTGCCAATAGTGAAGGATCCTTTGGTACCAGTCCGTTTGTGTAGAAAGTCTGGTTCTTTTATGGAGGTGAGAATGCACAACCGAGCCAAAAGAAGCAAACTCCAGTCCGCCGACAAACCTCGGTTTGGGTTCGGTTGAAGTGAACTCGCGTTTGGTTTGAATCCATATGTGAACTCCAAGTAGACCAGAGTCCGCTCCAAAAGCAGGAAGTGGACCGCAGGGCTTTCTGGGTAAATACAAGCAAAACAAACTCGTTAGCCTAGCATTAGCAGGAGAAATGACTATGATCATTAGCAAAGACAAGGAAAATCGAACAACTGCTAAAATGTGATGCGACTCCATTTTTGTAGAAAGTTGCGCTTGGTGTCTTCCGAGATTTTTGTGCCGTTTCCTTTATGTGCAGCCATTTCCTCTTGGTGCAGCGCCCCCACAGGCCAGGAGGGGAACAGGTTGGGTTTGTGTCATTTGACTTGGTGCAGTGGGAAAGCGAGCCGCAGCAGCTGAAAATGTAACAAATTTGGTCACCAATCAAACTGATTCTACCAAACTATCAGGTGTGAAAGCAGCCTGAATCAGAAATCTGATGTGTTTCTTCATTTTTTTAACTCGCAGAAAACTGGCGCTGAAGTTTCACCCCGACAAAAACCCGGACAACCCGGACGCGGCTGAAAAGTTTAAAGAAATAAACAACGCTCACTCCATCCTGGTGGATCCCACCAAGAAGAACATCTACGACAAGTACGGCTCCCTGGGCCTCTACGTGGCGGAGCAGTTCGGAGAGGAGAACGTCAACACCTACTTCGTTCTGTCCAGCTGGTGGGCCAAGGTGACCCACTGCAGTTTGTTTTTTATTGTAGATGAAGAGAACCTGAACCCTTTTCCAGCCTCTTTTGCTCGCTTTCCTCCCAATCACAATATCCAGGGTTTGTATGGAGGCTTTGAATCCTTGAAAATGGTCTGGAAAGTGCTTGAAAATGCTTGAATTTTTATTAGATGTTTCAAGGTTTGGGAAGTGCTTGAAACTCTTTAAAAGTACTTGATATTCAAACTGCACAGTTTTGTAAGGAATTGCAGTTTAACGCTTGATTAAAAGCCTACATTTAGAAAGCATCATTTACAGGTAATAAAAAGACTTTTTTCCTTTCTGTCAGAAGTTAAATCAAACTAAACTTTTCTTGTTTTTGATCAGTTAGAATTACAAAAATTATTTATATTTGCTGAATGTCAGAAAACGTAGCAAGAACATTTTTTGAGATTTGTTTTCTTTTCTCAAATTAAGTCTTTAAAGGTCATTTATTTTAACACAATTGTTTGGATTGTTTCAGTGTGATGAATATTTGTTATTTCTAACAGCTCAATGACTGATTATTTTGGGGATTTTCTGTGTATTTGTTTGTGGCTTTAAAAACAGCGCTTTGGATGGACATAAGTTGTGATTTCTCACGTTGTGACCTTTGCCCCCCCAGGCTTTGTTCGCCTTCTGTTGCCTGGCAACAGGTTGCTACTGCTGCTGTTGCCTGTGCTGCTGCTGTAACTGCTGCTGCGGTAAATGTAAACCCCGGCCGCCAATGGACCAGGAGCCCGAGTTCTACGTGTCCCCTGAGGACCTGGAGGCCCAGATGACTGCAGATGAGAGAGGTGAGGACCGGGACGCTACGGCAAGCCGTCTTACCATAAAATCTGTTTCCTCTGAATGTCCGTGATCACATTCTGGACATCTGTCCTGAATGGTAATTTAAGATATCTGCAGTTAGTTTCTGACTAGTAAGGTTAATAATTCAAGATATCTTCAATTACATTTTCACGAGTCAGAATTTGTTTCTAAGTATCTCAAATTACGTCACCGGATTTGTCATTTACATCCATTTTATACCTGGAGTGTTGTTTCGGTTATTTTATTTAGTCTCCATGGCAACCATGCAGCTGTGTAAAATGGCTAGGTGGATTTAGCCCCGCCTTTGAGGCGCAGCTCCTCCTCTAAGCTTTCTTTTCTTTCTCTTTTTCCTTTCCATTTTCTTTATCTTGTTTCTTCCTTTCTTTTTATTTTTTTCCTTCTTTCTTTCTCCATTAGTTGCATTTCGCTGCATCTGCTCTTCCACATTCAACATAAACAACAAAAAATAACATAAAAATTAATCAAATAACAATAAACTGATTCTTTTTGAATCGTTGACGTTTTTCTTGTTTCTGTTTTCCTTTTAGACGGCAGCGATCCCATCGTCATGCAGCCGTCATCAGCCACAGAAACCACCCAGCTCACCTCTGAAGCGCACCAAAGCTACAAAACCGACTCCTACTAGACACACACACACACACACACACACACAGCAGAAAGAGGCTGCTAGGGCTGGGATATCATTAATATTTGTCCTACACATCAGTATCGGGTGGATTTAGCTGCACCAACTTTAACCCACTCCCTCGTCTTCCTAAAGACGCTGAAGCTTTTTGGCCAAACTTTTGCCGCTGTTTCAGTTGTGTTGCTTTGAGCTTTGTGTTCAAATCTCTGTTAAAATATCACATTTTTGTGGCACTAAAAATTAAACTGCAGTTGAAATTAATAAACTTGTTTGGAATATAGAATAATTTAAAAAATGGACTGGCAAAATTTTGCCAAATCAACCCTAAAAGTTGCCAAAAGTTGACCGTGTCTAGTTGCTCAACGCCGTTTTGAAAACGTTTATTTTCTGCACCACGTGTTTGTGGGTTTTTGTACCGTTTGAGTGTGTTGCTCTTTCAGCTCTTGGCCTTTTTTTGAGTCTGTCTGCGATTCAGCAATTACTACATTAATCCAATAATCGATTAATGGTGATTAATTTGATTTATTGCCTTTGCTATCATCATAATCTGGAGAGGGTGTTGCTCCATTTAACACTTAGTTGATTTCTAAAATAGATTATTGCTATAATCGATTGATTAATTTGATTAATTGTGTCAGCCAATCATGGTCATCAGCTGTTGTTCCAGTTACACTGTATACTTCCTAACGATTAATCCATTACTCAGTTGACGAATATTCAATTATCGATTAATCATTCTGGCTCTAAAATGCTGGACTTTATATTTGAGTAAATTATGTTAACTAAATCTTTAATATTTTTAACGGAGCCTTTCTGAACTGCACCTTTTTATTTTCTTCACACTAACAGAATGTGCTCAGAAAAACTGACATTTTTATTTAAATTTTAAATTAAAACTAAATAAAAGCCAGATCTGAAAGGATATTTAGGAAATCCAGCATTAGTTTCCGAGCCGCTCTGATGTTTCTCAGCAGATCGGGATATTTTAACAGAGAAAAGCTTCAGATTTTATTTGTCTCCACTGTGTGTAAAGATGCAACCCAGCCCTAACAGCAGCTCATACACACACACACACACACTCACATCCCTGCCAGTTTTCCACTTCCTCTCTTTTTCAACCTCATCCTGCAGATGAAAGTAGACGTGAGCGCTCCGTGTTTTTTAAACTTTCAGGTATGAAGTTAGGGGAAGAATAGGGACAGTAGCAAATTAATCATTTGTTCCAGTAGCTTTAATTATATCAGCCATGACCCATCAGAACAAAATCAGCTGTAAAAATTGAATTTTTCCCTTAACAAAACTACTTTAATAGAGATGAAATATCTAACTTTATGCAATAACGTTTAACAGTTTTATTTAAAAAAGTGGTTTTCTTTGAAGATGGGAAATTATTCCACCTAATTTGAATAATTAATAATAATTTAATGTCTGTATAATCACCAGCATTACTTTGAATGCCAGACTATTCTTCCTGAATCTACAAAAACAAATTATGGAAACTTTCCAGTTTAGTGATGGGATTATGTCTGTCCCATCAGATTTAAGAACCATTTTGATTTGGGTTTTCTGTTTGATCACAGCCGATTCTTCCTCTTCTCCATTTCTTTTTCTTCCTCATATGAAGGCTTGTTCAGTGTTGAAAACAGAGGCCACAGAAACTCTGCTGGTTTCAACCGGCCTCTTTGTTATTGTAAAATAGCTCTAGAACAGTAAATAAGCGCCCTCTAGCGGCCATCGGTGTGAATTTATACACTGATTTGACCCGGTTTTTTTAGTTTTTGTTTTGTGAAATGGTAAAAATGCTGTACATGTTGTGTAAAGTTACTGTAGATTTTACTGTATTTTTGTTTGTTTTCTTGTCTGCATCTGTATTTGCTTTCTCCTTGTTTTTGTTTTCCTTGTTTATGTTGTTCATGAAGGGATGATACTGATATCCAAAGTCTTATTTAATTGTATTTTCGTAGAAAAGCAGTTTACAACAATCAATCTCATTAAGCGAGATTTATTTATCCTACATAAACCTTTACGCAAACCGAATCAATTTTATAAAACCGGGTGTTTTTTCACTTTGATTCTGTTCTGTAGCCCACTGCTACCGCAGCGTGTTAGGGGCAATATAAGTAGAAAAACAAAAAAAGAAGAGAAAATTTCTGCAAAAAAAACAAAACTGAAATTTTCTAGCAAAAAAAAAGTTTAAAACTGAAAAGTCAAAAAATTTGCTGGAAAAAACTGAAATTTTGAAAGAGTTTGAAATGTCAAAAAGTTGCTAGAATATTTACATTTTTAGATTAATCTCTGGAATTTTGGAGAATTTATTTTTTAACTTCTGTGTTTGAAAAGTTGAACAATTTGCTCGAAAGATCCCCAAAATTTTCAGATTAATCCGAAAATTTAAAAAAAAAATAAAAAAATAAAACATTTATCAGTTTGAAAAGTTTAAAATTTGCTAGAAAAAAATACATTTTGAGATTAGTTTCAGGAATGCTAAAAGAAACTTGGAAATTTCAGTTTGAGAAGTCAAAAATTTACTAGAATAAAACAAAAATTTTGAGATTAAGTTCAAATTTTGTTGAAATAAAAACATGTTGGAAATTGTTTTGGAAAAAACTCTGAAATTTTGTGAATAATCTCAAATTTGGTATGAAAAACTGAAACAAATGTTTAAAAAAATTTACTTTAGAAACTCAGATATTTCCAAGGTTTTTTCTCACAATTGTTTTTGTTTTTTGGCAGAAATTTCCTCCTTTTTCCTTTTTCATATCTATAATGTCCCTAATAGGCCGCCGTACATCGCATCACCTCCTCATCATGCATTCATGCATATCATGAGAAACTGCTCTGCTAAAATCACATAAATCTGCGAGTGTTTCAGAGAATCTGCAGGTTTCGCTGCTCTGGAGCGAATCCTGACACCTTCATCGTTCAAAACATCGACAGAAAATAATCCAGCAGCGTTTTTGTTTAATTTATTCTCTCTGTGGCGTTTGATTTTTAGCCGGTGTGTGAAGCGGATGTTTAGAGTGTTAGCCCTGCTGTACATACACAGCGCAGCCTGTAGATAGGTGGAGGCTTTTCTGTTTTTAGCATGGACTCGTGTTTTTACCTGTCGGCCGGAGATGTATGGGGAAAATACATGAAGTGTCTGATGTTCTGTTGGAAAATAAACAGCTCTGATGCTTGAATTTCTCACTGTGTGTTTTATTAATGACTATAAATAAAAGGGAAAGAAATGTGGAGACTAATTCCAGAAATTTGTTCTAAAGATTCTGCAATTTTCTGAGATAAAAAAAAGTCAAAAATTTTCTAGAAAAATTTCAGATTTTGAGATTAAGCTCAGAAATTTTCTAGAAAAAACTTGTGAATTTCATAGAGTGAAAAGTCTCTCGCCTGGAACGTGAGCTGGAGATCAGCGCCAGCAGCCCTCCCAACCCCACTAAGGGACAAGGGTGTTAGAAAATGGATGGATGATGGATGGAGTGAAAAACTTCAGAAATTTTCCAGAAAAAAAATTGCTAGCAAATTGACTTTTGAAGCAGGTTTTTTGAACATTTCTTGGACTAAAGATTTGAGCTTTTGGACAGAAATTAACTCCTTTTATTTTATTGATGCTGCCGCTGTTTGCCCTTTTGTTCATGTCAACACTAGAAAAATTAATTTTTTGCATTAATTTGAAGAGTGTTATTTCTTCTGCAAAACTTTAACATAAAATACGTTTCACTTATTGCAAAATCAGCCGTTTGGTTTGGCAAATATGATAATTCATATTTAGCACCTTTTCGCAGGACGTTAAGGGTGTAACAGAAGATGGAGCACAGCATGGCAGGGTCTTAATCTGTCCACATACCAGCCGTCTCCTCATATGGGGGGGGTGTGTGTGTGTGTGTGTGGAGCTGAAACCTGACTCCAACACACACCAGTCCGAACCCCAGTGTGCATCCTGGTTCTGCTGCTGCTGCGGTCCTGAACAGGCTGCGGCTGAGCAGCAAAGCTGTGGAGGGAGAGGAGGACGAACCGGTGAGGAAGAACCGGACCCAGGAAGAGAACCGGGCTCAGGTAGGAACTGGGCTCAGAACCGGGCTCAGGTAGGAACCGGGCAGATTTCTCTCTCCGTCTGGTTTCACGCTGATGGCGCCGGCCTTCGTTGAACTTTTGCTCCGTCTATTCTGGGCGGCAACACAACTGAGAGTGACCCACTAACCTGCAGAAGCAAAAAGATCTCCGTCGAGCTTCACCTTTAGGTGGCGGCCGGCTATTTAAAGTCCAACTGCTTTTGCAAAAGTGCAACAAAAACAAGAATGAAAAGTTAAAATGTAGGCCCACCTTTCTCTCCTTTTAATGTTTTCATCCTGTTTGATTTATGTAACTGAATATGTAACTTCTGACTTTATCAAACTGTAAGGAACACAACCCGGTGTTACGAAAACTAACAGCAACAATTTAGGTTATTTAGCTTTATAAGAAAATTCAAGTCATGTTATTTATAAATTCACCAGTTCAAGCTAAATATTTAACTAGAAATTAAAATATTTAGTTGCTAAACTAAATATATACCTTGTTAAATATTGAGCTTGAAACTAAATATTTAACTTGCTAACTAAATGTTTAGCTTTAAATTGGATATTTAGCTTCAAACTAATTATGTAACTTGATATCTATTTAGTTTGTAGCTAAATACTTAGTTTGTAAACTGAATATATAGTTTGCTAACTAAATATTTAGTTGGTATTCTAAATATTTTATTAACTAAATATTAACCTTAGATTCCTAACTAAATATTTGTATGTAAATATTTAAATCGTAGCAAAATATTTAGTTTGTAAACTAAATATTTAGTTTGAAACTGTGATGTTAATAAATTAATGAACATGGTGATATTGTGTAATTTTTTTTGTGTAATTTTACTGACTTCTCAGAGAGCATTTCTGCAAATCAACCAAAAGAGAGAAGGTTTGGTAGATTCTTCATGTGCTGCTCTGATTGACGACCAATAAGCTGAACTTCCTGCCCTCAGCAGCCGGTTGCCATGTCTCTGTCGGCCGACCTGAGCTGCCTGCAGAGCAGCCAGGGCGCGGAGCGCGAGGCGGCGCTGGCGGCGCTGGAGAAGCAGCTGATGTGTCCGATCTGCGCCGACATCTTCAGCAAGCCGGTCGTCATCCTGCCGTGCCAACACAACCTGTGCAGGAAATGCGCCAACGAGCTTTATCAGGTCAGACACGCCGCTGTTTCAGCGCCGCATAGCAGGAATAACACACACACACATTCAGGGTGTGTTTGGATTATCTGAGTCTAAACTGGGACATGATGGTGGTTAACTGGTATGAACTGGTGTGATGGCAGCAGGAGAACCAGCTGCCGTCACCTGGATGAGCCGCTGTTGTTCCGACTATGTGAATTACTGGAACCCAAAATGAATCCAACCTCAATGTTTACTGCAAAACAGGCGAAGAAAGAAAACAAGTTAGTTTTTCAGTCAAATTTGTCGCAGTTTCAATCTTAATATTTAATTAAAACACTAAATATGCAGTTTACAAACTAAATATTTAGTTTCTGAACTTTCAAGTGTCTCTTGAAACTTATTGGAAGCAGAAGAAGTCAGTTTATATATAGTTTGAAAGCTAGGCATTTAACTCTGATTAAATTATGTTTTTAACAAAATATCACTAATTACTTCATTTGTAAACTAAATATTTAATGACAGACTTATTTTTCTTAGTTTTGTTCGTAGATATTTAATTCCAGACTAAGTATTTAGTTAGTAAACTGGATTAAAATCTTCCTTCAAACTTATTGGAAACAGAAGTAAACACAGTGATTCGAACTAAACCCTTAATTTTAAACTAAGAGTTTAGTTTGTAAACTGAGTACATAGTTACAAAGCTAAATATTTAATTATAAATTAACTATTTAGTCTGTAAATAAATGTTAAACTATACGTATTACTTAGTTTGTAACCTAAATATTCAATTACAAGGGGATTATTTAGTTGGTAAAATAAATAGTTAACTCCAATCTAATTAGTTTTTAAACTAAATGTTTAGTTTGAAACAAAATATTTACCTTGCTAATTAAATATTTAGCTATGAAGTAAGCAACTCTGAATTTATTTTGTGAACTAAATATGTAGTTTGGGACTTTAGTTTAACTAAATATTTAGTGAGTAGACTAACTATTTAGCTTGCTAATTAAATATTTAGTTACTAGCTAAACATTTAGTTAACAGCTTGCTTACTAAATAATTAGTTTTGAGCTTCATATTTAGCTCCCAGCTAAGTAGCCCTGAGCTTATTTGTTAAGCTTAGTATGAAGCTAACTAAATAGTTTGAAATGGTGTCATTTATTAATTAGTTTTTTCCAACAATCGGCGAAATAACCCCAATTATTAAGTTTTACAAACAGCAGCCTGTATTAATTTCTTGACCAAACATTTCAGCATCATTTTATTTATTTACTTTTGTTTTCTATGTGCAGCCATCTTTGTTCCACGCCAGAACCACGATGCTTGTGAACAGCGGCCGTTTCCGCTGTCCGACCTGCAGACACGACGTGGTGCTGGATCGCCACGGCGTCTACGGCCTGCAGAGGAATCTGCTGGTCGAAAACATCATCGATATCTACAAACAGGAGCTCAACCAAATACCAAGGTGGAGGGAATCCACTAAAAATAACAGCAAAAAACTCTGGGCTACGTGACACATATCCGATGTTTTTTTTCTTTTGCGTGGTCATTCTTACTGCCAAATATATGCGACTTGTATGTGATCCCCGTGTGATCTGCAAACAGTCTGAAAGTGGTCCGCATGCGCAGTAGAGGGCGCAATAACGTCACTCACAGAGCGTGCTCACTGTTTTGCCAGCCGCCATAAAAAAAAGAAGAAATGCTCCGTGTTTGCGGAAGTAAACATAGATGCTAATGGTGCAGCATGTCTTACGATTTTGAAATTGTTTTCCGACCGGAGGCAGCAACTCAATCCTCTCCGCCATGGTTGTTGTTTTTCTTCCCGCTAGCGCTTATCAGGACGCAGATTAGTGACGTATGTCGAGTATCAATGACGTTAGATAGGCTGACGGAGGCCTGGCCGTACAGACTCAGGTCACATTTGAAAAGATCGGATATGTATCGGATAAAAAGCAGCCTGGGACCCGTTCGAAAAAATCTGATCTGTGTTGTTCAGACTGTCATGAAAAGATCATATACATGTCGCATTAAGACAAAAGAACAAAAAATCAGATTTAGTAAGAGCTGGGTAGCAACTAGCTACATTTACTTGAGTAAATTGTTTTGAAAAAAAATTTACTTTTAGGTGAATTTTTACTACAATGTACTTTACTTTAACTTTAGTAATTTTATCATGAAGTATTTCTGCTCTTACTGGAGTAAAATGTCTGGATTCTCTACCCACTGAATGAAACGCAAACATGTTTTAACCAAAACTTCAGACACAGACTCACATCTGCAGTTTTTGTTTGTTTGTTTTGTTTAAGTTTCACAAGTTTTTTATTGAAAGAAACTGATTTGGAAAAAATATATATAAATTTCAACTGATTTTTTTGTTGTTATTTTTATGAATTTTGGACCTTAAAATACCAGAATTTCCACGTAACCTTATATTTTGGTCCATCTGATTATATAATTTTTAAATATTGAATGATTGATCATTTAATCAGTTCCTCAGTACACGAGCAGACTTTTAACCAAATACTTTTTTCTTTTACTTTAGTAAAATGTTTGGGTTTCTACCCGCCTGTGGTTTCCGTTGCAGTGTGAACGCAGCCTATTAAGGAAAGTGCCTGAATGAAGACGTGTTGTATCTTCCTCTCCAGCCCGCCTCCTCTTCCTCCTCCTCTTCCTCCTGCTGAGGCGACCTGCTCTGATCATGAAGGTGAAAAATTGAACATCTACTGCCTCACCTGCCAGCTTCCCACCTGCTCTTTCTGTAAAGTCTTTGGGGCGCATCAGAACTGCCAGGTGGCTCCTCTGACGGACGTCCACCAGCAGAAGAAGGTGAACCAAGCCACCATATTAGACGCGCTTCAAGCTCCACGTCGTTAAAATAAATGTTTTGTTTTACAGGATGAGCTCAGCGAAGGCATCAGTTCTCTTGGGGAGTTTAGAGACAGAGTTCAGGCTCTGGTCAGTGACATAGAAGACACCTGTAGAGCTGTGGAGGTATTCAAAGTGCTTTACATCATAAAGACATCATAAAACAAGCAAGAAACTTCACATTCTGTCAAACGCCATCATCAAATATGTTGATTCATGTTCCAGTTATTATTATCAAAGGCAACTCTAAACTACCACAGTGTATTAGGGCAATTGCAGGTAGGAGAAACAATGGAGGAGTCTGCCTAAAATCCCTGAAATTTTGAGAATAATCTCAGAAATATTTATGAAAAAACAGATTTTTTTCGGAGTTTCAAAAGTTTAAAAAATGCTTGGAAAAATTCAAAAGTTTTGAGATTAATCTCACGAATTTCCTTGGAAAAAACCCCTAACATAGAAATTTTCAAAAGTGGCAAATTTTCAACTTTTGAAACTGAGAAAAATTCCAAAAGTTGGACATTTCTGAGTTTTCTCTAGCAAATTTTTGAAAATGTTCAACTTTTCAAAATTTTCAAGACAAAAGAGAAATCCTCCAACTGCTAAAATCTGACGCCACTCCATTTTTATTTACAATTTGTGAAGAAGGAAGTCACGCTCAGCATCTTCTTCAGAGGTTTTTGTGCCGTTTCCTTCAGTGATGTTTGCTGCAGCGCCCCCACAGGCAAAGAGGGGAACATGTTTCTCAAACGGTTTGGTTGGTTTGACTCAGGAAATGTAACAAATATTTCAGTTTTGGTTCCCAGTCAAATCAGATCTACTGGACTATCAGATGTGAAAACACACTTAGATTCGATAAAAACTAACAAACTTATTGTACTTTTAATAAAGGATAGTATGAAATGTCCTTTAATTCCCAGATTTATATTTTAATTGTGTACAGGAGAGCTACAAGACCCAGAAACAGAACGTGTGTGACAAGTTCAGCAGCATGTTTTCCATCCTGGAGGAAAGACGGAAGGTCAGAATTGGTGTTTTTATCTGATTATCATCACTTTTATGCAACTTAACATTTGTTTCTGTGTTAGCGCCACCTATATTTATCATTACAAAACACTCACTGGCTGACAATTATTTTATATCAATACATACTCTAAATATCTATGAGTAATTTTGTCCTTACAGTGCAAAAACACAAAATCTTACCAAGTAATTTTGGCCTAGTTTCTAGTGCAAATATGTTAGTGCACTTCAAACTAACATAAGTAAGTTTTCATCAAGAGAGAGGAGCTCGCTTTCAGCCAATACTTCGTCAAAATGGATGGAAATGAACTAGTTTAACTGGCAGATTATTTCACTTGTAACAAGATGTTTTGCTCCTTGCTACAAGTTAATTGAACTAATGGAGGCAGAACTGGGTTGCTAGGTAACGGGCTGGGCTAGGTAGGTGTTGCTAGGCAACGGTGCAGGGCCAGTTTGATGCTGTAAGTAAATCTGCCAATGGAACTAGTTCTTTTTTCATCAGCATTAAGGAATTATTGACTTAAAACAAGCTTATGGATCTCGCTGAAAAGTTGCTTCTGTGTTAATTTTGTATTATTTCAAGAGTATTAAGATATTTGTACTAGACACGAGACCAAAAATACTCTGTAAGGTTTTGTGTTTTTTGCAGTGAAACTGTTTGTGCTTTAATTTAAATGAAATAAATGTTTCTTCTTCTTCTTTGATTCTTATGATTCCTGAAGGCTATGACACAACAAATGAGCTCTGAAGAAGACGAGAAGGTAAACCACACCCAGATGCTGATGCGTTGCTATGGCGATAGCATGGAGGCCAACAGGAAGCTGTTGTCAAGCGTGGAGAGCAGCATGGAGGAGCTGGATATGGCTGCGTTTGTTCAGGTGGGTCAGGTGAAACCGGCTTTTCATGTAAGAAAGACTGTCACCGTTGAAAATGTTTTTTTCAGAGTATTATATAGCATTTTTTTCTGTTCTTGTCATGATTAATCTGAATTATTACACATATTTTCTCTAATTTCTTTTATTGTTTTCATCCTATTCTTAGAATTCAAAAGAATTGATCTCTAAGTAAGTATTAGAAACAAAAGAAAGCTTCACCTCGTTATTTTTTCCCTCTGTACATGCTATTTCCTTTCTTCTCCTCTTCATCTTCCTCTTCCTCTGCAGAGTGATTGCAGCATCCAGCGCCAGTCCATCCGAGACTCTGAAGCCAGGCTATGACAGTCTGAGTCTCTACAGATTTAATTTTAGGAAACAGGAAGAAATGCTGAGGAGCATTGACTTTGACAAAGGTGAGCAAGAAAACAAAAGGGGAAGGACAAAAAGAAAACTTCTTTTCTGAGTGTAAGAATAACAAGATTTTTCTTTGGGAGCAAAATTAGGTAAATTAAATTTAGAAATTGATAAAACCAAGGAGAAATATGATAGTTAATTGCATTAAAATATATTTCATCTTCAAAAACATACTTAAAAAACTCTTTTAAAAATATTACTTGCTCATATTAGTATCCCATGTTAATATTTCTGTAATGGCCAATAATAAATATTTACTGATATTTTATTCTGTTTCTCTACTCTGGACACTGAAAGAACAACCAAGCTGAGCAAAGCATGAAGCTGTTAGCATGTACAGCTAACGTTTGTTAGCTTGTTCATGAACAAAAACTGTAGCTGTTAGCATGTACAGCTCAAATTTTTAATCTACAGACTCCGTCAGCACTTCACAAGTCACAAGGAACTTCACCAAATAACATTAGGATTTAATAGAGATGTATTCAAAGAACCACTGATTATTGTATGTTTTCTCTAGTTGTAGAAGACATTTGTGAAGAACCAGAAGTCAGTCCAGATCCAGAAGAACCCAAAGGACCTTTAATTCAGAACACAGAACCAGAACTATGTCAGGAGCCGTTAATCCCGGACCATCATGCTTTGGGAGAACCGGCTGAAGAACCACTTCCACCTCCCATCTCTCCACCAGTGGAACCATTACAGCTTGATGAACTGGCAGTTGACCCAGAGCCTGCAGCTCCTGGCCCGGCGGCCGGTTCTTTAGAGTCTGCTGGAGAACATTTGCAGCCGGAAACCGATGGTCCAAGTTCCGGTGACGTTGGACCGGGTCAGGTTAGGGTGGAGAGAAAGGTGGAGCGGGTTGGGGCCGAGGCACGGCAGCCTGTGAGAGAGGAAAGCTTCAGGAAAGACCAGGAGGGGATGAACACTCAGCAGGTAGGGAGTCAGGTCCGGTTCTGGTATTATTCTGTTATAGAACTGGCCCGAACCGCACCCGTCCTGGTGTAGCTCCTTCAGTCAGAGGTCCGTTGAACAGTGGCTGTGTTTCCAAATGTTTTCAAAACTTTGCCAATATTCCACTAATGTCAAAAAAACATAATTCTCCAATTGTGTTTTTTTTAAACTAAATTAGAAACAGAATCAAAATCACAAGTGAAGTTTGTTGAATAAAAAACACGCCGCACCATCATCCTCCTACTACTTCCTGTTGTCGTCTTTGTCGTTTCCTCCAGTAGTAACATCCTGTTGTTGATCATGTGACTCGTGTGATGTAAAAGAAAAACAACTGAAAAAAAGCCAAAAATGTATAAAAATACAAGCATTTTGAACTTAAGGTGAAAGAAAGAAATCTGTTCTGGCCAGAAATACTCAAGCAGCAGTTTTAGCTTCACTTTGTTCAAATTCTGTAAAAAAAAAAAAAAAAAATCTCCTATTAAGCACCTTTTACCTTCAAAGTATTTATTGGTTAACCAAAAAAATAATCACCAGACCAACCCTATGCTGAGTTGATATTAAGTTTAACTGCTCTCCTTCTGAAAGACAGATGGAGCTTTCCTTCAGGTGATGGAGCTCAAAGCTGTTAGCATAGCATTAGCATTAGCATTAGTGCTGCACTCTGGGAAACCCTGCCAAAGGGTAAAATTTCAGAGCAGGTGATATGGCCACGGGGGGATTCCCCTTCAGCACATCTCGGCTGTTCCTTAAACCTGAATCTGGAGGAACCGTCTGAAACCTCCAACAACTTTGTGCTCTGTAAACCAGGGATGAAAAAATAATTCTCATTTTGGCCCAAATCAAATCATGATTTGATAAAACTTCCTAACAAACTGTTAAAATAGTAATAAGCAGCTGTCTCTGTGTTTGGTAAGTACTTCTTAAAGGTGCAGTATGATGTAAAATCGACTGTTGTTTTAGCTTTCCATCACGTTATGTTTTTCCCTAACCAAAAACAACTTGGAGTGTTGCTTTCATTCTTTCATTCATATTTGAGAAATCCTTTAATCTCTTTGGCAACAATTCAGCTGCGTAAAACGCCTCTCCTTCAGACTAGCTAGCAGCAATTAGCAAACACCTGGTGGAACTGCTGAGCTCATTAGTGCTCAGTAAGAAGCTGGTGAAAAACGTTAAAGGGTTAACAAGGGAGCCATGTTGGGACGACTTCCTGAAGGCGGAGCTTCAGAAAGGAGTTTTTAAAGAGACAGAGGTCCAATTTCAAGGCATTAATTTACACAGTCAAATTTATTTTAAGTCATATTTGACCTGTATAGCATTTTTGTAACAACTGAAGGGAGGGAACATAGTTACTTGATTGTTATAAAATGTTGTTTTTTCCCTCAAATTTTCAACTTTGCAAACTCAGGAACTTTCTTGTTTTTTTTTCTAGAAATTTTGAAATTAATTAAAAAATAAAATTAAATAATGTCCTGGCAAAATTTTCAAACTCAGAAAATTCGGAGTTTTTCCTAGAAATTGTTTCAGATTAATCTACAAATGTCCTTGTTTTTTCGCATAAGTTCATTTCTTTTTCTTTTTTTTCTATTTTCAGCGGCTTTAATACGCCGTTGCAGTCAAACTCGCTTCATCATTATCGTCATTATTCGTTTTGAGTGTGCTGGAGCTTTGATAACGCTTCCTTTCTGTTGTCCCTCCAGATTGTCACACTGGTCTTCTACCTTTTGGCCTTACTGGTCATCCTGCTGAGGTTCTGGTCTTACATCGGCTGTTTTATGTACTTATGAACCCAGAAGAGAGAGACGGACATGAATTAGCGCCTCCACGCAGGTCAGATCGCGCTGCTCTTCTTTTGCTGTTTCATTGCCCTTTACTGACACCCTGTGGTTAAATTACGGAACTACAGTTTACATTTCAGACTGCGGCTGTTGGATTCATGAAGCATTTCTGCAATGACAGAAAAACTAATAAAAGCCCAACAGGAAGTCATAATTACGTATTTTGAAGCGATAATGTCGACTTTTAGGGTCAATTTAATTTCCCTTTGGGCTTAATAAAGTATTTTTTGATTTTAATTTGAATAATTGTGACTCTGTTTCTCTAAAGCAGGCTGTTTCTGTATTTCATAATCATGACTAAATCATAATTGTTAATAAGAATCTGAAAATTATGACTTTAGGTGTCATAAATATGACTTAGAATATCCGAACTACTACCTCTTAATTATGACTTTAAATCTCAAAATTATGACTTAATATGATCATTTTGATTTTGAATATTAAAACAATTGGGACTTTAAATTTCATAATCATGACTTAGAAAATCAAAATTAGGACTTTGTATCTCAAAATTATGTCTGGATCTCAGTTATGTTTTTGAAAGTTTAAATTATGACTTCCTGTTGGGCTTTTAGTTTTTTGGCTTCCTGAGACCTAAATACTAAAATGTAATTGTACTACTTAATGTTACCATAGAAATATAATAAAATAGCTCATCTTAAGACAAACATTCAGAGCTTTGCAGCATCTTCTATTAAAAATAATAATTTCAATGTTGGTAATCGCCCTAACACCATGCAGGAATGGCTTAAATTTATTTACTTATTTATTTTTTTTATTTTATTTTATTTATTTTTTTTTTTTCAGAAGAATACAGAGAACCAGAGCTGTCCTTCCTCCGGTTCTCCTCTTCATCCTCCTCCTCCTCGGCTCTGGTCCCGGTTCTTGGTAGATCCAGTTTCAGCTGCAGCAGGAATGGAAAAATGAGGCACTTTTGCTTCGTTCATGATCATTTTTAAAACCCAAAGTCCCACAGGAAGTTATTTTCTGTATCATTTTAGCTGTTTTGATTTGCTGATTGCTTCTTGTTTTGGTCCAAACTTTGGTCTTGGTGTACAAATCTGAGTGTGTCTCAGTACATTTAGGTTTTTTTTCTACTAGCTTGAATTGCTGGATGGAGACTTTAGAACAAATTTGGAGCAGATTTGATCGTGTACAACGTTGTTTTGTAGATTTTTTGGGGGGTAAAAACATAAAGTCACGCGTTTCTAATCTCAGAATGAGTTAAAATATAAAGACAATCCCATCAAAACATGTCTCTGATGTCATCTATCCACGCAAAGTTTTAGAAACGAATGTCCTGCAATGGTTGGAGGCTGCAGCTTCCGGTTTGGGCGGCATGCTTTCAAAATAAAAGCATTGAAATGTCGCCACATGTTTAAGTAGTAAAACCAGGATTTATACTTGACAGTATGTCAGAATGTTTTAGTTCCTGTATGGAAAATAATCTGGGAGGGACAAACTTTTACAACTTTCCAATTCAGAGGAGCAATAATAAAGTTTTTAGATCAAATTTGTATGAAAGGTGACGTTTTTCCAGAGACTTCCTGGAGATAAATCACTGATTTATCTTTGTTTTCTTTTCTTGAATTCATCCATAATATTTTAAAGCATAACACATGGTTTATCTAATTTAACATTGGGATCAATAAAGTATTTTGGATTTAATTGAATGCCTTAAGAAGTAGCAAAATACATAAATTCTCTAAATATGACCTTATTTTTTGTTTTATAGAGCTCTTTTTTTAATAGCTGCTTTCTCAGTTGCTACCAGGATCACATATTTAAACCAAAAATTAGGAAAATTATAATTTGTATTTTTTGATGGCTTGAAAAATGAATGATGTGGTAGTTTGTTTATTTTTTAGAATAGGAGGCAAAAATAAATTCAGGCATCCAGATGTTTTTCAAATAAAAACACAAAATAACTTTATTCTAAATTATTTAAATTATTTTTTTTAATCTGTGGAGCAATAAAACATTTAATATTTTTAATTAAATGAAGTAGAAAAAATAATTTAAAGGTCTTAAGAAAAACTTTACATCTTCCTAACGTTTTTGGGTTGAACGTTTTCTATTTAGTTTGATAAAATATTTTGTGTTCTTCTTCTACACATTCATTTAAATCAGGGTTATCCAAATGCAGCCCGGGACTATTTGTGGTCCTCGGTGTGATTTTGTGCAGTCCTCAACCACAATACGAAAATGACAGTGATAAAGCAAATCTTCACCACCTTTCAAAACAAACAAATTAAAGTATTCTAAATATTGAAGTACTCATCTTTTATCAACCATATTTTTCACTTTAAATCAAAAGTTACTATGAACATCCAGTGCTCCAGTTTAGTCAACTCCACAATATAAAGCAAAAGTGACACATATTCTTTTTATGTTGCTTTGAAAAACATCTAAATATAATAGAAAAACCATTAACAGAATATTATTTGCTTTTTTTTGTTAATTTTAAACAAGGTGAACCTGGTAGGTTTTATCTTTCAGATCTATAATTATGTATACCTTCCTTTCCTATGGAAGTCAGACCTTACTAAAATATTGTAATACTTTTATCAAAAATTAAAAAAGGTCTTCAGTGTATATTTATTTATCAGTTTGTTCAACTGATCCTAAGTACAGAAAATGTGCAAAATAGTTTTTAAGCTTTGAATCTACAATGAATAGCATACATTTCATCCCCTAAAAAATGTATTTGATTTTATTTTATCTTTTCTCTTGGCCCACAAGTACTTTTAACTCGACGGCATAACAAAAAGTAGTAGCGTCAACGGAAACGCTTTTATTTTGAAATGAAGTCACCGAAAGAGGATGTAGCGCAGCCGCTAGCTTGACAGAAAGTAGCTTAGGCTGAGCTGGCTGTTGGTTGGGGCTGTTTTGACTCCGCTGGCTGTTCCCCATCGACGTCCTTCTCTACGTGGAAGCTGGTCGCTCTCGTCGGGGAGGTTTCCACACACCGAGGCGGGGGCTGAACACACAGATCTGCTTCAAGCAGAACCGATCAGAATAACCCAGAATCTGCTGAACTGACGCCATGGACCCAGCCAGTCAAGGTAATTGTTAGCTTACCGAGCAAGTTAGCACAACTCAGCTCTCTACCTGGCTGAAAAAACGGCGCAAACAAGTTGAGAGCAGCTTGGTTTTTCTTTCAGAACCCTGTAATAAGACAAAAAACCGTTTCCTCCGTGTTGTTTTGCTGTTGGCCCGGGGAAGTTGGGGTGGGTGTTGGGAGCACAGACGGGCCCTCCGATCCGTGACAGGAACAGCAACAGCAGGTGGAGAGAAAGGAGGAGGATCGAGTTACTGATGTTAGCAGCTTCCCTGCACTGATTTCACTGACATTATCAGCTGATTCAACCCAGTTTTAACCACCTGAGTCACTGGGGTCCATTACTTCAACACATCCGCTTGTTTCGTTAAATGAGTGAATGAAACTGAGACCAGGTGCTGATGTTTGGTGAGGAGAAAACTTCCTTTCTGCTGTGTCATTAACTCCAGCTAACCTCCACCTCCACACAGGCCCAGAACATTCATTTTTAAACATTTATTCAACTTTATTCATAAAATGAACAAAAAAAAAACAATAGAGTGGAATATCGTTGGGAAAATGGATGTGTAACAGCAGGAAAGAGACAGGAAGTCGAGGCATATGGCTTCTCAAAGATAAAAATGTACAAATAAACAAAATTAAGAATAATATACTGCAAAGTAGGGGCAAAATTGCAATATAAAACATTCCCAAAACAAGCAAAACAATATGTATACACTAGAGGTCTTCAACTTGGGGGTCACAGTCCTTAAAGAGGTCACAGAGATGCTACAGGGGGTCATGAGATTTCTGATTAGACATTTTTTGTGTATTTTTTACACATTGACATGAATCCAACATATAAAAAATTGATAAAAGGAGGCATAAAATAATGTATTTTAGTCTGAAATGCTAAATTCTGCTCATTTTGCTAAAAGTTCTGCAGTTCAACTTTGTTCTGGGCATAGGCATTGTTAGACCATTACTTTTACATTCAAAGTTATGTTTAAATAAAAACATGCTATTTGCATTGAATGCTCAATATTAAGACTTGTTGGTAGATGGATTCCTTGTTGTTTCTGTAAGGAGACATGGCCAAATCCAATCAAACTCAGATTATTTTTAGGAACTATGATACAAAAAGAGGACTCCAGATATTTTTCTAGCCTTCCTGTTGTAAGTGATGGTTAATTATTGATGATGGGACCACAGATGGCATCACCCTGTAGTGTCAAAGAGCCATTTCCTGAAACAGGACCTTTAAATCGAAGAATACGTGACTGTAGGTCACATTTTCAATTAGCTCAGCATCTTGTTCGCTTTACAGGAATGTTCCTGTGTGCATTCTAGATGATCTAGCTCTTTACTTGAACTCTGAGTTTTCTAAAAAAGCTTCCAACAAGTTCCATGATCAACGTTCAAAGCTCTAAGGATGAAAATGGCGACTTTACATTCTGCTCTCTCTCACCATCTCACAGCTTTTCTTTTTAAATCAGGGCATTTACAGCAGACCTCTGTCTATTTGTTGTTTCATTATTCGCAGATTTTTCTGTGGAGCGTAACTCCATTTTACTAGTTAAAAATGTGATTATTTGCAGACTTTTTTCCCCCCTCATATCGCATATCTAAAATATTCGAAAGAAATGCCACTAAGAAAGTTGAAATACCTAGATGCTATGCTAACTGCCGCGCTATTGGCTGGCGATATGAATAGGATGTTTTATTTATTTATTTATTACTTTCAGACAGCTGTTGTATGTAACTATGGCAACAAAGTGCTTGGTTCTTCTTTTTTACAATCAGGAGTAGCTGGTTAACATAAAAAACTTTAATTTCTAAAGAAAGTTTAATACCGGAACTGGAAAACATTTTAAATATCCTAAATAAATTCACAAAACAATAATTAAGATAATTATGAAGTCTCTGTGACCAAAATTGCATTTCAGAAAATTTGACAAGGAAAACAGGCAAAGGTTTAGTGCGTGCGTGCGTGCGTGTGTGCGTGGAGTGGCGCGGGTCACCCCACACACACACACACACACACACACACACACACACACACGAGGTGTCAAATGCTTTTTTTTTTTTTTTGCTTGTTTTTTCTCAAAATGCAAACTTTTCAACAAAAAAGTCATGTGATTTATTGATTTATTGCTTATTGTGACAGGCCTAGGCATGTCCCCTACTCCAGCATCTCTCAGACAGATTAAAGAGGGGCGGCAAAAAGCAAAGGAGGCGGATAGCAGAGCTAGCTAATAATAACTGATGGTGGCATCCAGGAGATGTTGCTGTTGAGTATCATCTCTGCTTTGATAGAGCAACAGTCTTCAGTCAGAGGCTTCTTCTGATTCGTTGGAAGACTGGCTGCTAGTGGAGTGTAGAAAACAGAACGTAGAAGAGCGTGGCGTTCAGTGGGCGTGGAGGATGGCCTCACTCACTCCACACCTCAGTTTGCAGACAGGTTAGTCTGCTGCCAAACAAGTCCACCCATTTACAGCTTTAGCATAAATTTAACCCAGTAAACTTATTGTAAAAAACAACAAAAAAAGGAAGTCATTATAACAATGAGTAATTCTGTTCCTGGTTCCTGTACCTCAGTGTTTTTATTTTAATTTTTGTTTTTATCGGGGTTTTTCCTGTCTGTGCTGGTGACGCCTGTATACCTTACAGGTGGAGTCACTGTTTGCTGTCAGTTAGATTACTGAGCTGTGTGCAGATAATCCTGTCGTTTCCCAACATCAGAAAATGTTCAGCTGGTTTAGCCTTGTCACTATAAATCATTTCCATTTGCAGGATTTATCGTTTTCCTCTTTCTGCCTAAAACTGGATGATAAAAGTCTTCAGTCTGGTGTTATGAGACTCAGTATTTCATTTTATTTGTCGTTTCTGTTGTTTTTGTTTGTGTGTTTTGGATATTTAAAATGTTTTCCAGGTCCAGTGTTAAATGTTCATTAGAATTTAAAGTTTATTAATCTCTGAGAATGTGTTCTTGCATTATTATTATGCCATTGCCTTTTATATTACTTGAAAATGGTCTCAAAACAACAATATTATCATTTATCGGAGTAACATCTGAAACTCTGTCGTCGATTTTGTTGAACAACTTTAATTAATGGCCACCATTTTCGCTGAATCTCTGGTTCAGTCTTTGCTGCGTCTTGTTTTTATATTACGTTAACATTCGGTTGTGTTGTGCAGATTACAGCTCCCTGAAGCCCATTTCGATGTCGTTTTGCATTTATTGGAGACGTATTTTCTCCTTTCCCTGTTCTGTTGCCCCCTCAGCCGAAGCTGCTAAAATTAGCCTTCAGGTAAATGACTCGACACTTATTCAGTTTCATAGAGCGGCTATCAGACTGCAGGAATCTTGGACTCAGTTACTTAAGGTTAAGGAATCCTAATCAGTTCATACTAACATTTCAAACTCTTAATTAATGAAAAATTCATTCGTTCATTAAGGATTCAACTAACGATTAGTAAATGATTAATCTATCAATTATTCTGATGATTGATCGATTAATCAAACTTTTAAATTTTAACATATTTTTCATTTAACCACAGAAGCCTTTTTTATGCAATATATTCAAAGATTCAAGTTATTCAATTCCTTTAAGAAAATAAACATTTTAGTTTGTTTGAACCAGGAGAAGCTAAAACTACAGCTGGAGGAGTTTTGGCTAAAATATATTTACAGACAAAAGTGTTTTTTTTACCTAAAATGCGAAATGTATATATATTTTTTGTTTAATTTCTGCTCTGAATTGACTTTCAGACTCCAGTTAATGATTAATTGATTTAGCTGACAGTTATTTCTAAGTGTTTGTATATAACTTTTATTTACCCAGATGTCTCAAGATTAAAGATTTCTGACCAAGACTGGCAGCAACACACAATTACAAATCAAAACTACAGATATCAAAACCTGATTAAGATACAATATAAATAATAAATGAAAAATAACATCAACATAAAAATGGGACTAAAATACACCATGATATTAATCAAAGCATTTTAAAAAATGCCTTAATTACAAACTGATTAACAGTGGCCTTAAATACATTAAAAGAGAGCATTTTCTTCAACTATGAGTTGAATCAGTAATCGATTAATCACGATTAATCGTTTCAGCGGTAATGTAAGCTGCTTTCTAAATGTAGTTTCCTGCATAAATGTGAATGAAGAACATCTGTATCCTTTAAATTTTACTCTCTCTATAATGTTTCCTAATTTTCCCATCATCCATTGCTGCAGATATCAACCTGAACTCTCCTAACAAAGGCAACAGCATGGATCCCTCAGACAACATGGCCGACGATCAGGCGGAGGGCGCGGCCGCGAACTCGGCTCACCCTCTCCCACCCGGCCTGACGGAGGAAGAGGCCGAGGAGCTCCGCCTCGAACTGACGAAGGTCAGGGACCGATTACCACAACGGTGTCCAACATAGGGTCCGCGGGCCATTTGCGGCCCATAGGCTGATTCTGTTGCGGCCCCCCGACCACAATTCAAGAGCAAAAAGGACAAAACTATAAGTTTTAAATTAAAATCTACTTAGAAAAATATTAGATGTGACATAAAATGATCATCTTTTCCAAAGTTTCTGGTTTCCTTTTGTTTTTATGGTAAATAAGATGATTAATCAGATTGATTATAATAGATCAATTACTAAAATGATTGTCTACTAATTTAGTAATCAGTTAATGGTTAACTGCAGTATACCAACTGTAAAATATGAAAGTGAAAACATTTATTTGCCTCTTTAGATGTTTTTTAAATATTTTATTAAGTGGTTAATTTAAAATCAGCAGAGTGTGCCGTATTTTTTAAATCCGATTAGTCAATTAATCGTTAGCTGCAGTCAGAATATTTTCCAAACTGTAAAGGTTTACAGTAAATTCAGTTTCGTTGCATCTTGAGAAATTAAAGGTATTTTATCTGCCAGGTCAGTAGCTCTGACTGATGGCAGGAATAGGTAGGACTGAAATGATTAATCTGGTTAATCGATTATTGAAATAATCAGCAACTGATTAAGTAATTAATTGCTCATTAATTGGATTTTATCAACTCTTAAATATGCCATTTGGTGAATAAACAACAAAGAAGTAATTAAACTAAGTTGATGCTAGAAATATTAAAATACCAAATAAATGGTCCAACTTTCACTAAAGGAATACTATGGCATTAAATTACTTTAAAAAGGAATCAAATCGTTTGTTTGGATCTTTAATGAATTTTTAATGTTTAAATGAAAGATGTGCAGAATGTGGAATTCTGTTTTATCCGATTAATCATCAGAATATTGGTAGAATAATCGATTACTCAATAATCATTAGTTGCAGCTCCTGTTATGAGGTTTTCTGGCTCATAAATGTTTAAAACCTTTTTGGCTAAAATTCAACATTATTTCCACATTCTGATCCACAGACGCAGCAGGTTCTGGTTCTGGTGAAAATCTGTTAAACGTTTAAAAGAACTTAAGCCGAAGTGTTTTTCAGAGTGCAGTGTGTCTGGTTCTAAAGAGGAGCTGCTGCAGGCTGAACTGTGCGGTTCTGATTCAGGTGGAGGAGGAGATCAACACGCTGCGCCAGGTTCTGTCCGCCAAAGAGAGGCACGCCTCGGAGCTGAAGAGGAAGCTGGGCCTCAGTCCGCTCAACGAGCTCAAGCAGAACATCACCAAGAGCTGGCAGGACGTCCAGACCTCACAAGCGTACGTACCAGTAAACCGGCCACCTCTCTGGTTCTGGTCCACAGGGTTCGGCTCATAAACCCAGAAAGTATTTGTTGTTTGCAGATGGATCATTTTAATCTCTGCCTCTCCTTCAAACAGGATTTCCCTTCTAGAATAAAAGCGCCGAGGCTATCTCAGTCTGAGAATATTGCTTTCCGGCATTTTTTACTTTCCTGGAAATTTTTTTCTAAGTATTAAAGTTGAAACTTTTGACTTCCTGTGCAGCTGCTGGAGAATATTGCTGCATTGTTACGGTCTGGCTCCATGGTCTTATGCCAGTTTGGAGAACAAGAATTGGTGGCTAATTTATTTTACGAGTTCTGAAGTTATATTTTTCACTCATGACGTTGCTAAAAATACTAAAGGTCACACAGAGTAGGAAGAGATTAACGATGAAAACGGGTCTATATCGTAAATTATAGAGTCATTGCAATATTCCCCAATATTATTGTTGTTGCAGTACTTACCAATATTGTCAGCTCCATATTTGCCAGTATTTTTAAATTTGATTGCCATAGCAATATGTTTTCATATTATTTCGATTGCAATGTTTTTCAACATTATTGCCATCGCAGTATTTCCTAATGTACTGGGAAATCAGTTGGTTTCCCAGTATTGTCTTCATTTCAATATTTTCTCGTCTTCTAGATTTTCTTATCTCTTGTATGTTGGAGCAGGCATCTGGATGGACGATATTAATCTTCACTCTTCACTCAAAGATGTTTGTGGAAATATTGCAAACATCTTCCAGATGAGATCAAACTAAAGATTCGACGCCCCTACGCTTTAATTCCTTTGCAGCATTTCGGACCTGAACTGTTCGTAGTGACGCAGCTTTAGCTTAGCTCCGGCCCCCTGCTGGACGGCGGCGGCGTAACGTGCTCCTGTTTCTGTTTCTAGCTACGTGAGAACCACAGAGAAACTGGGCGAGTGGAACGAAAGGGTGACCGGTTCGGATCTGTGAGTTTTACCAACCGTTTGCTGGACGCCGCTGTTTGCTCTCTCACGCTCCGACTCGCCCCCAGTGCCTCACTCCTCTCACCTTCTAACCATGTTTGCAGTGGCTGCTGTTTAACACCGGGCGTTACAGAGATGGTGTGGATTTGTTTGTTAACCTGAAGCCTGCTCATAATAACTGCATTAATCTGCTGATTTTGTTTGTTAGAAAATGTAGCGTTAGGTGCAACAGTCTGACTCTGGATCTGCTCTTCTGATGATTCTCCTGGACATTTGCTTCGACTTGAAGTGACTCTTTCTTCTTACAGTTCTAATAATAACAGAACCGGGTCCATATCTGATTCGTTTTCCACTCACCCATTACTTCACCCATTAAGGCCTGATGTGGTTCCGGAGCATCTCTGGGTCCTTCAGAGTGAATCACTTGTTTGTCTTGTTGTATCAGCAGAGGACTTCCTCTATCTGGATCAGCTGTTCGTTCTTCCTCTTAGATTGATGACATGTTTCTCCTCTTCCCTGTCTGGACAAACTCTGGTGGATATTTCCAGCTTCTCTCTCTCAGTCCTGGTAGCAGACGCTGTTTTTCCAATATGGCTGTTGAGTCATCACTGCGAGCGTAAATTTATCTCCTGATTTTAAAACGTCCAACTGCAGTCAGTCTGACTGCTCACGGTTGCACCAATTACCTCCAATTTGTTTATTTGCAGACTTCTGTTCATAAAGGTTTTGGTTGAGGTGTTGCTTGTTTGGACAGTTATTCCCTTTGCTTTTTGATGTTTTCTTTTTACTTTTGGAAAGTTATGATAAGTAACTAAGGCAACCAGGAGCAGCTGATTAGCGTCTCAGTAGCTCAGAGCTACAAATAGGAGCTCAAATCTCAGGGGAGATGAAAAGGAGGTTTTGTGGATGCAAAGAGTAATGATGGGCAAAGATCAAATCCCCTACTCCAACATCTCTCAGATTTAAAGTGGAGCAGCAAAAGTGAAGGTGGTGGATCAGCAGAGCTTGCCAACAACTGATGTCATGATGTTTAGCATCATCTCTGCTGCCTGGAAATGGAGCTGTTAGCATATCATAGCAACACACTTCTGTCAGAGGCTTCTTCAGATGCGTTGCAAGATTGACTGCTACTGGAAATCCTCCCAGGCAACAGCATCACCATCCACAACGACTCTTCTGAGATACTTTGATGTTTTAAACTGAAGTATCCTTCATCTCTTACATTTTTTGTAAAAGTATGATGTTTATTGTAATGTTCTGTAGGGTTAAAGAGGATCCTTAAGTAAACAAACTGATGGTACCCAGTAGGAAAAAAATGCAGAAATGAGGTGAAAATGCTGGTTCTGTTGGCCGGACGAAGCTGAAGTCAAGATAAAATTTATTTATTTTTTTTCTGTTCAAACCTGAATAGAATACAATTTAAGATGCTAAACAACTTTTTCACTAGTTTTGTTTTTTAGTTGGGGGGAAAAAAAATTTCCCTGCAGCATTTACAACAAACGGTCAGAATCTGCAGAATTTGAGGTCGGTTCCGGTCGGAGCTGAGGCGCATTCTTCACGTCTCGGTGTGATTTATGGGAGCATAAAGGCGAGTTTGTCTTCAGGGAGTCACTGTGAGTGTTTGGACACCCTGTTTATCAGGACAGAGGAAAACCTTTGAGAGGCACGAAGGAGAACGGGGCTAGCTTAGCTTGATGCTAACGTCCAGCTGCTGCGTCGCGTCCCGACTGGAAAACGTTTTTAAAAACAAAGGGTTTCAAAGTGAGGCTTGGGGGCCATTTGCAGCCCCTGGACTGATTTTGTGCGACCAACAAACTTTATTTAAATTAAAATTTACTTATAAAAATGTTAGATGCATCAACATTTTCAAGCTTTCTGGTTTCCTTGTTATGGCAACTAGAACCACATCTACTCATTGACTTGTACTCTAAAACGCATGTTGGTGCACAAAAATCTGCTTTTAATTAATGTGTTCAAAGTCGGGTAAATACAGCAAGTGTTTTCAAATAAAGACTGACGCATCCTGTTTTTATTGCTGAGAATAGATGAAATGTTGTTTCAGTTTTTAATCATTTTAGCCCAGAATAATAAGCAAACTGGATGCTTTTCATTTACCAAGGAAAAAATGTGCAAACTTCATTTGCAATTCCTCTTCTACTAAAAATATCAGATTATTTTATTTGTTTGATTAAAATAATTCATGTTTATTTATGAGTAGGTAAAAAGCAACATTTTTTAGTGATTTTAGTTTTTAAAAAGTACTTCGCCAACCTGACAAAGTTTAACACCCCTAGTTTAAGCATCGAGTTTATCTGCCTGACTTGCTAATAAACTGGACGGACCAGCTTTACTCTGATGGATAATCTAACTCAACAAGATGTAGCTAACTGGTCTGGTCTCTGTTTTAACACGCAGCCACCAGCAGGTGATGGGGGGCTGCTCTGTGGTTGCACCCAGAAACCAAGATGGCCGATTTTCTTTTGTTTGCTGTTGAGATAATTGTGGATTGTGTCTATTTGGTGAAAAATGTAGGACAGGAGAAGCAGGCAGGCATGAAGCTCTTTATTTACCATAACACACACACACACACACACACACCCAGTGCAGGAAAATGTGTCTATCTCTGACACACATTGTTCCCAGCCCCCTCGCTCGCTGGTCCCAGTGACCAGACAGGACGCGCAGACTGGACTAACTAGGACGAGAGGAAAAGACTGAGATGCAGAATGACAGATGAGGAAGAGGAGGGAAATGTGACTGTGGACTGCCAAAAGAGCCAAATAAAAAGAGAAATTCACAGAGCATACGTCATAAAAACTCTGTGATTTAATAGTTATTATTTATAGGGTTGGACAGTAAAGACAAAATGTTACAAAATTTTTTTAATTTTCATGTTACAGCTTTTAAAAATAAATTTAGAGTGAAGAGATTAAAACAAGCAACTAATAAGCAGGAGTGCAAAAGTACACAAAAATCCTACTGACAGTTATTCTTTTACTTAAGAGAATAAAGTCGTAATATTGGTTGAAAAAATTCACTATTGCAGAAGAAAGTATATATATATTTTTTAAATGCTTTGATAGAGATATCAAGATCTGGTGTCACGTTGTTTGGTTCTGGTGTTGAAATACTCAGTGGTTTCCACAGTCGTTTCAAAGTCCTGCTACTAAAGATGACTTGATGCTGATGTGTTAAAATATGGAATATTTCCTTATTTTCAAAACTGATTCCAAACTTTAACATCAAGATGCTCAACATTCTTCAGTTTAACTGTATGGAGTACTACTTCATGCTCCTAACATTACGACTTTATTCCCGGATGAATTTTCCTGGCCTTATCCTGACGTCATCCTAACGTTATTCGGACGTTAACCTAACATTATTTCAACATTATCCGAGTGTTATTCTGACTTTATTCTCGTATTACTCCAACTTTATTTCTGTTGTGACTTTATTCTCGCTTTATAACTCGTGTCATGCTGCTACAACTTTAGTCTTGTATTATTATGACTTTTATCGTACGACATTTCGTAATGTTACGAATTAATTCTCACATTTTCACTATATTCTTGTAATTTCAAAAAAACCTTCTCTTGCTTTGGGCTTGAATAAGTTTTAATTTCTGGAATTAATTTGATATTTTGTCCAAAATCGTATCGAACTGTCTGGAGGCTTGGATTGGTTTTGCTGAATTGTTTTTAAAGGGCACATTTGTTTTAGTACAAGCATAAAATAATGAAAATCAAGTCTCCACTGCTGTTGGCAATCTCAGTCTTGGAGACATTGGTGGCCTTGATGAGATGTTTGTTGTATTGAAGTTCACATCTTCCCATCAGTTTGAAGTTAAAGTTGAGCAGGTTTTTGTGGTCTTCATGTTTTCTACCATGCGGTCCATCTCTAGTGGGTCGTGTTGGAGAGAACAGTGGAGTCCTCGTTCACCATGAAGGCCCCCTAATAAATCCAGCTCAGACGTTTATAAGCAACATGCTCCCTGCCTCTGTTCAGACTGTTTTCTCTGAAACAATTACAGCACAGATCTGCCCAGTGTGACGCTGCGCTGCTGTACTGTAAGCTGCATTGTGCTGATGGAGGTCAGAACATACAGACTCATCTTGTCCTTGCTTTACATCTGCATTTGGACCAGAACCAGAATCAAAACGATGGTTTTTATGCAGTAAAAACGAGGCAGTAAATGGTGTTTTTGTTCTATTTTATCACTTCTCACTAATGAGTGAGTTAGTAGGTGTTTTGATCTGCTAAAGCATGAATCATCGGAGTATAAATGTGGGAGGATTTCCCATCCTGCGCTTTCAGCCGTTCTGCTCCACGTTGTTATCTTTGCCCTCCCGGCTTCCTGAAGCGTGGAGCTGGTCAAACCGCCTGTTTATTCATCACACAAAGACCAGCAGCTGTCTGAAGACAGAACGCTGATAGCATTCAGGAAAGAAAAATAGAGAGGTTTTACATCAAAACTTTATTACTCAGCAGTTTTATTCAAAAGTCATGCACTTTCTAATCTTTTTTTTTGTTGTTAAATTTCAGCGTACTTGTGAGCAGTAACATGGAAAGATCATTAAGGCTGAAACGATTACTCATGATTAATCGTTTATTCAAATAGCTGTCAACTAATTATGAAAGGACATAACTTTAGTAGAGCTGAAACAATTAAGTGGATTAATAGTGATTAAGCGATTATTCAAATAATCGTCTATTCATTGTGTAACTAATTGTGAAAGATTGATTAATCCAATTGATCTAATTAATTGTGTTAATTGAATATTGAAATAATCATCAACTAATTGTGAAACGATATACTTCAGTTGGGCTGAAACGATTAATCAGAATTATCAGCATAATTGTGATTAATCGATTCTTCAACTGATTGTGTAGCTAATTATGAAGGGTCATAATTTTAGTTGGGCTGAAACGATTAATTGTGATGAATTGATTATTCAAAAAACTCAACTAATTTCATAATTACTTGTGAAAGATTATACCTTTGGAAGGGCTGAAACAATTAAATGAAATGAGGAATGTGCCAATTGTTTTCAAATTAATCATCAAAATAATCAATAAAATAATAGTTTATAATTTTTTTCATGTTAAAAGGGTGGTGAAGTCTGATATCAGTTGTGACGGCAGTATTAATTTTGGCCATTGGGACTGGCCCAAAGTTTCATATCGGTCCATCACATATTAAAATGTTACTTGCATTTTTTGATTTACAAGGCAGTGAGAAGAAATGTGAACATTTTGCTGTATCCTCAAATACTTTTTTGCTTTATTGTAGTTGGGAAAATTTGTCTTTTTTTTTTTAGATTACAACCGTTTTAAAACGAGGAGTAAAACAATGGTGCCTTCACATGCTTTGGTCTGCTAATGGAGTAAATAACTAAATGGTAGAAATGAATGAATGACTGTTTAAGTTCTTGCATATCTATATAAATATAGATCTATACTGAGAGTTTTTCAGGTTTTAGGATTATTGTTTATTATGACTGTGTCTTCCCTTGTGTCATTATCCCGCTGTTGTGTCTTCAGATATCTGTCTGCCTCAGCCACTTTGGATGACATTACCCACTCTGAAGCGTGAGTTAATCCTTTTTTTAGTTTTTGCTTGTCTTTGGCTTTTTAGATGAGCTAAGGTTTCATTTTGGGAGCTTTTTTCTCCATCATTTCTCTGCTGTTCACGCTCTGTTTTCTGTTTCTATTTGGTCCAGTAGTTAGCTTGGGTTCACTCAGGTTCTGGTGTTGGAGGCCATGTTATGCTTAGGGACTGGTGGACTCACAATAACTAACACATGACTTTAATTTAGGCTGTTTGTTCATTAAGCTGCAGTTTGACAGGATGCTGAAGGTAACTGAGGATGATGATGTTGCTCAGTTCTGGAGAATTAAGATTTCTGAATCCAAGAGGATACATCTTGGATTATATTCCAACTCTGGTTTCCTGTAACCCACCATAGTTTTGCGACATTTTCTCTCTAAAACTGCATTGAAGTTCAGGTGACTTATCCATATGAACCAATAAAACCTGAACTCTGTGCAGTTATTACACAAGTAAGTATTTTGACCCATCTTATTTTTCCTAACTCAAAGCTGGATAAACTTGAATGGTTAATGGATTTAAAGTGGAAAAATTCACATTTTACATGTCGTTGTTCTTCCATTTGCGTTTCTGCTGCTTCTAAATACAGTCCAAGTGCTTAAAAATCTTTAAAAACCCAACTGGTTTTTGGCAGCAAGTTCATGTTTTTTGGTGTCTGGAAAATAAGACATTTCAAAAACCTGTGGAATGTGATGTGACAAATCGGCAGGTACTGCCCGTTACCTAGCAACCCCAGCAGAACTCTGCCCATTACCCAGCAACCCCAGAGGAGTTCCAGCACTTTTGGTCAGTGGTTTTACCACTGTATGGCTGCAGGAAAAGACAAGTGTTTTATTGTTGACTTACCATCCAGAAACGACTTCCTGCATTCTTGTTTTTGCTTTGTTTGTTTTGCTTATTTTTTTGTTTGTTTTTCACGAGTTACATGATCAACAACTGGATGTTACTACTGCAGGAAACCACGAAGAAGAAGACAGGAAGTAGTATGAGGATGAATTGAATTTAATGAATTGTCGTGTGAACAAACTTATTCACTTGTTATTCTAATTACATGAAAACATTGCAATTGCTAAATTTTGTTTTTTCAACATCAGCAGAATATCAACATTTGTAATGGAAACGCAGCTAATATGAGCTACACTGCAGGCATAAAGGACTGCTGGCATGAAATGTTTAGGCTGTTCACGTGTCATTTATTTGTGTCAATAAACGGAAGGTTAATCACGATCAATATTGAGTAAAACTGATGTTTTTCATATTATGCAGATGTAGTTTCACTCTTTACTTTGTCCATTTTCATGAGTAACTGGGTTTATCATCCCATCAACCAATTTCTCTGTTTTTCTTTTAATCCCAGATTGGAAGGTCAAATGCTGCAACATTTTACTGAATTTTGTGTTTTGCTGCTCATTGAATTAATCAGAAATGAAACCTCCCTTTTTTTTTCTAAACATGTAGGGTAACGTCTTATTGTTTATGTTTTTGTCATCTAAGCTCTTTGAATTGCCTTGTTGCTGAAATGTTCTGTACAAATAAACCTGACTTTGCTTGACTGAGTTCAGTAAAAATCTGATAAATTTCAGTGCATGTCCACTGTGATGCATGAAGCAGGAAGATCTTGTGGGTTAAAAACTACCATTGCTGAACCCACAGCAGCTTTTTTCCTTTATTCGTGTTTTAGTTGTTGAATTAAAGCAAAGTTTGGTTTCATTTTGCTAATACTTGGTATTGTCATGCTTTGATGCTTTGCATGTTTATTCAGTCTGATGGACTCTTAACTTCCCCTAATAATCACTCCTGATTAATATTTGTAGGAGCTGAGAAACTAAAGCTCTGAGTAAATATTGAGCTAGAAATGTGAAAGTTGATCATAATTTTTCTGACATTGTGCAGCCATTTCCCCTTCTTCGATTACTGCTATCGTTTTGTCCAGTCTGCTTAAGCCAATGCTGCTTAGTTTATTTTCTCTTAAGAAAATAAATGTTCATGGATTATACAGGAAAAATTGTAATAAAATTGTCAAAATGGCACATGAAACTATTTTTTAATGTATGTTTGCTATTATGTGGAGTTGCCACATCATGTTCCTTATTTTGCTTCACTCTCCCATCAGCCATGTTGCTAACTTTCTGTGTCCGTTTGTCTTTCCTTTGTTTTCCACGCTCTGGCTCCATCTTGTTTGTTCATCCTCGCTGTTCTCTCTTTCTGCAGATACAAGAAGACCCAGGAGACTCTTTCTGAGGCGGGACAGAAGACGAGCGCCGCTCTCAACACGCTGGGCACGGCCATCAGCAGGAGGCTGGGCGACATGAGGTACAAACATGACCTGACCTGCTGCTGGAAAAGTTAAAACGATGTTCTGTAGCTGGTGAAGCCCAGTAGAAAACACAAACTTATACACATAAAACCAACTAAAAGTTGAGGGTGTTTGGCTTTTGGGTGAAATTTACGGAAAACGTAAGAAATTAAAGCTTCAATTATGGCTGATGAACGTATCAGGATATAAGCGTTTCTTATCAGTCTGTCGATAATTATTGATCATTTTTCTGTTATAAATATCTGAAACACAGCCAGCCTGAGGGAGTGACCTCTCCTGTTTTCACTCCAAGCTGCTGTTTTTTATTTTTAAGCAGTTAAGAGGCAAAACTTTAAACTGCTGCTGTGGCAGTTACCCAGCAGGTTGTTGCTAGGCAACTGAAGTTGGGGGCAGGGGGTTGAAACTGCTTCCTACCCAGCAGTTGTTGCTAGGCAACCACAGAGTGAGTGGTTTGGTTAATTCCGCTCACTTTGCTTTGCTAGCCTTTAGAGGTTGAACAGCTAAAGTTTTTCCTCTGCCTGCATCTGTGTATATTGTTGAATATTAAATATTTTATCAGTTGTCTTTTTGATACGGCAGCAAAAGGTGAAAGTTCCCGCAATCCAAGGTGAAACCCAACTGACACAAACACAATAGAGACAACAGCAACAAAAGTTGAATAATTTTCACTTTTCTTGGGTCGATTTTCCTTTGAATGGTCTGATATCAATTCATAAAACCATTAAGTGGATTCTTCTAATCATTGAAACCACCACCAACAAACCTGAAGGAAGATGTCTGGAAATATTTTGGATTTTAAAAATAGGAAGATGGTAATACATTTTTTTGGCCTGTTAATTGCCTCATTTAAGTAGATAATGGTCACATTTTTCTGAGCTTGTGTGAATGCACCTGTTCTGATGAGAACAGAAACTATATCAGCTGAGCGGTTGGGCAAAAGCTTCATTAAGGAAATTTCACCCTAAAACCGAATATTTCAAATTTTTTCCTGTTTGCCACCCGAGCGTCCAGCTGCCTCTTCATCTCTGTTTCTAACCGTCGTTGTTGTTGCTGCACGCCTGCATGTAGAATTCAGATAGTTGCAGTTCTGCATGAAACTCTAAAGTCTGGGGTGTCCAAAGTGTGGTTCGGGGGCCATTTGTGGCCCCATGACTGATTTTGTGTGGTCCTTGAATAACACAAATTTGTCCCACCAGCGCAAACTGATTTTTTATTTTATTTTATTTTTATTTATTATAAAACTATGAATCAGAAATTAAAATATTAGTTACAGCACAAACTGTTCATTTTTTAAAACCATCTCTTTAATTTCATGGTAATAGGATGATGTTTATCCAGTTAGTGCACTCAAATCTGGTTTTATTAAATATTTTTCAAATAAAGAGTGACTAAATAATGTTTTGATTTCTGAGAATACACTAAATCTTTTTCAGTTTTCCTCAGTAAAAATAAATAAATTAGAAAAATGTTTTTTTGTTTTTCTAATAAGGAAAACATGTGAAACCATTTTGAAGTTAAATTCCTATTTGACTATTTTCCTTGTTCAATTAAAATATGTTATGTTCAGTGTATTATTTGTGATTTGAGTTGATGATTTGACATTGTGATTAAAAGTTTGGACACCCCTGCTTTCTAAGTGTTGCTGTAGTGGAAATATTTAAATTACCAGAGCTTTTAACGTTTTTAAAAATGAGAAGTAGAAGTTGTTTGGTTTCTTCTCCCCTGTTGTGTCATGATCACTTCACTTCTGTCTTGTTTTTTATTTTATTTTTTTTATCTCACCAAACCGGTTCTGGTGTCAAACTGCTGCTGATGTTTACTTGGAACCAGCAGCGTCTTGCAGATCTGAACCGTTCTTATCTTGGCATCAGAAAACAGCAGCCAACATGTTTAAAGTACTAAAATATTTGCTGTGGTTTTACTTCATTTTAGACAGAAAAACGGTTAAATTCATGATTTTACTGATTCTGGTTCCGCTGCAAACAGCTTCTGCTCTCTTATCTGCATGCTGTTCCTTTTTCTGCTGTTTTTCCGTTTTTTGTCCCGATCCGGTTTCTGTTTGCTCCGTTGCCTCACGTTGTCGTCTTGTTTTTTTTTTTTTTATTGCTGCCCCGGTTTGATTGCAGAGCTCTTCCTTTCTCTAACTCCTTTAGGTAAGGCTAATGTTGGTCCAGATCAGGATATTCTTTAAACTTGGAGGTATTTTAATCTCTGTTGCTCTTTGCTTCGCTGTGTAACTCTTGGATTTTCTCCTTCCTTTAATGCTTTCAAAGTAGCAACTATTCCATTCGCCACTCCATAAGTATGCCGGCCATGAGGTAAAGTAACCGCTGAGCTCCTCCTGATGTTTGCAGCGAATTTTATTTTATCACCAAGCTTGTTTTTCTGTAATAGATTACACATAAATTAGATATTTGCATATATAGTTTTATTTTGTTTTCTCCATCTTTCTTACACATTTGGGATTTTAAGATAATTTTAATCAATTAATTTAGATCTATGTTTGATATTATCTTTTATAGTTTATTTTATAAAATATATTGCATTTATAATACTTTCAAAAATGTTTTTAATATGTATTTCCATTTAATGAACTATTTTTATATTTTTTCCTCAATCTTTCTTTCAGTATAATATTTTATTTATTTGGCATATATTGCTTTATTTAATTGGATATTATATCTTTTATACTTTTTAGGATATAAAAACGATAATATATGCTAATAAAATTGTGTAATTTAAAATATGATTTTTATTGTCATTGCTTAAATAGCATTTCATTTCTAATTTTATAGTATATATAATTTTATTTTATGTATGTTGTTGGAATAGATATATTCTATAATGAAATTGACATAAATTATATTATGTATCCAAGTAAAATTCTATAAAAGTATATTTTAATATATTATTCTGTTTTATTTACCATTTAATTTCAGATTATTTACAAACTCACAACTAATTTTGTCTTAAGACATAAAGTATATTTCCTATAAAAGCTTTAAATCTTGAAGACCATTTTATTTCTGCTTTTATTTATTTTGCATTTTCTTGATGTATATTTCAGCTTGATTGATTTTTATTTATGATATCAAACTTGATATTTCTAATTAATTTCATGTTTTTGCTCTTTAGAAACTCTCCAACCTTCAAGTCGTTTGAGGACAAAGTGGGAAACCTGAAGGCGAGTAAAACTGTTTAAATTCACAACAAACATTTAGAGCTTGAAATGTTTTTTTTATATATATATTTATATATTTTGCTTGTTTTTATGCTAAAAGTCAGTGAGAAACTGTTCATAAGCCAACTTCTCATGATAATATGACCAAAATGAAATTAAGTTAGCTGATCATTTCTTTAAAGAAATAAATGAACAGGTTTTGCCAGTGGTGGCTGGTTGACCTTTGATGACCTCTGGAAACTTTGATTAATATGTTTAAATTTATAGCAGCACAAATTAGATTTTTACAGCACAAACATTTGATCAGATTTTGTTGGATTTGAAACAGGTGGCAGAGTTGGTTGAGCTTGTGACCTCTAAACTTTTATTAATATCTTCAAAGCAATAGACAAACAAAATATCTTTGCAGCACAAATGCAGCGGATTTGATTGACACCAATTTTTAGATTTCAAGAAGAGTGGGCTGGTTGACCTTTCATGACCTTTGGCAACTTTTCACGTGTTTAAAATTATAGCGGCACAAATGAAAATTTTGCAGCACAAACATTTGATGCAGATTTAGTTAAATTTGAAGAAGATGGGGGGTCGGACTTCACTTGGGTCTGTCGTCTGCCGCTGTAAACAGGAAGCAGAAAGAGCTGAGTCAGCACCCGTCACAATCACTAAACACTCGTCCGTTTCCTGTTCTTGTCTTCCTCTTTCCTGTTGGTGCTGCGCAGCATAAGGTGGTGGGACCCAGAGGGAACGGAGACGCCGTCAGCTCCCCGACCGACACCACCCCGACTCATGAGAACCCGCCCTTCTGAAAGCACCGCCCCCTCCTCCTCGCTGCCATCTTCCTCACGACCTCAGACTGTACTGTTATGGAGCCCTGACCTCTGACCCCTTCAGCAACACTGCATTTTGTCCTACGATCTGTAAATCTTATCATCTCTGATTAAAATAATAATTTTGAGCCAGAAATCACAAAAAGAAACTAAAAAAAGTTGAGTTTTTCCTTCTTTTTGAACATCTGTGATCCTCCCTGAAAGTTTAAAACTTTCACTTTTCCTGCTCTCACACTGTGAGCACATTCTGTCTGTTTTCTCTTTAAATGCAGATTTTTGCATCGCAGTTTGATTGAGGAAATCTTCGGTCTCCGCATGTTTGTCTCACCTCACAAACCCTGCAAGCAGCCACATCACACCTAAAAAAAACTCACAAAAAACACCCAAGTTGTAAAAACTGCACCCATTTTGTATTATAAACTATTTTACACTGCTTTGCATAACGTTTTTACATAATTTTTATCAATATGTATAAATATATATGACTATACTATATCGCCGGTGGTAGTAATCAGGGTTGACAGAAGGAAACAAACACTAGTGGGTCAGTTTTTCTCAGTTAGTTACACTAATCAAACCAAAGCAACTGGGAATAAAAAAAAAAACTGGTTTTAATTTCAACATTTTCTCCATTAATCCAACCCTGGTTTGTTTCTGCTCGTCTCATCTGCTCAGATTTGGCTTAAAGACGAGGAAAACTTTACAGCTTGTCTTCATTTTGGTGTCAATTTAGAAATATCTCGCCCTGCTTTTTGCCAACTGGTGTGTGAATGTACACAAGTTAGCCGCTGCTAGCAAAAACAAACTAAATTTAATGGCTAAAAAATGCAGAAAATCAGTTTTTTTTTCTGAGCCTGATTAAAAAAAAGGAGGAATTCATTTTGTTTTGCTCAAACTTTTCATTTGTACCATTATGAAATATTTTCCTGCAGCTTCTTTAAGAATTAGAAACATAACTTCTCATGAAACTGCTTTAAGTGTATTTTGTTACATTTTTGTTTTTTTATGTTAGTAGATTATATTTTCTTTTTCCAGAACTTGTACACCTTCAGCTGAAGTTGCCAACGTTTGAAATATCTGTTACAGAATTTTCTTTTCCAAATGAGAAAAAATGTGATTTAGTTGGAAATTTTCTCCTTTTTTTCCCCCCACTAACTTGGATGATTTAGATGAACCTTTTCTGCATTTATTTGTATTTTTTGGAGACGGCCAAACGAGAACGGTGTACCTTTATTTTTTGTTTTGTTTTGGGTGCCAAGGGAAGTGCAGCTTTACTCACTTTGGGTCCTGGCTTTGTCTCTGACTGGAAAGTGATGAAATTTGGGAAATCATGCTGAAATAATTAAAGATCTCCGGTTTTGTTGTATATGTGTAGAGATCAATAAAGCATTCCTTTAAATGAAAACCTGATTTTGGCTCCATATTTTATGTTTTTTATTTGTTTTTGTTTTTTTGTTTTTTTTACTTTTTAGATCTGGCCTGCCTTGTTGAAGCACCATAAGATAATTTCTCAGGTTTAATTGAATTTGCCTTGTAATTATGAGGGGAAACGTTTTCCTCATGGTTATTCAGATCTGGCTGAGTGTATCGTTTAAATATAAATAAATCAGCGTCATAAGATGTATGATATATATTTACTACCTTTTGTTTTGACTTTTTTACTAAGTCAAAACCAGTGGTGGGAAGTAACGAAGTACAAGTACTTCGTTACTGTACTTAAGTACAGTTTTCGTGAATCTGTACTTAAGTAGATTTAATAATGGATACTTTCTACTTTTACTCCACTACATTTTACAGTAAGTATCTGTACTTTCTACTTCACTACATTTCTACAGAACCGTCGCGTTACTCGTTACATTCATAGAATCACATATCTAAGTCTAAACTCTTACAGAGAATAAACACAATAAGAACATGTTTAATCTGTGGCATTGTTCATTAAAATGGCACATTTATGATGTATTCAAATTAAATACTATCGGCACACTTAATGATATTAGCGATTAGGTTATGTATTCAACAAGTACTTTTACTTTTAATACTTAAGTATTTTTAAAAGCCAGTACTTTTTTACTTTTACTTAAGTAAAATGTTAATGTGGTACTTTGACTTTTACTTGAGTACATTTTTGACTGTGTATTTGTACTTTTACTTAAGTACATTTTTTGAGTACTTTCTCCACCACTGGTCAAAACAAAGTAAAAAAGAACTATTTTACGCCCTAAATTTGTTTTTACACGCCTCGGTTTCATTTGATTAATTTCACCACAAGATGGCGGTAGTTGCAAAGTTATTTTGATTGGTACAGGACAAAAGCTGAACAGCTCCGGATATGACTCATGTTGCATAGTCTATGAGAGGCCCCATAGGCCAAAACCTACAAACTCTCTTACACGTACTATCAAACTCACATTTTTAATTAATCTCATATTAGTTGCTCTCCTGGCGCCGGAAGTGGAAATACTACTACAAGCATGGTATTGTATATCCTATGATATATTACTTAAATATGCTGTAAATTAGATTATAGTGGAAATAAGTTACATTAATAATCCAGTTAATAAATTGTATTATTAAATTCATGCGGAGAACTGTTTAAAATTTTGCACAAAGTGTGATATCTGTGCTGCAAACGGTCTTTGTCATGTTGTTTTTGTAGAAACATGACGGAGTGAGCGCTCTTAGTTGCAAACTATCTTTGATGCGTTTTACGCAGGTAACCATGTTAACAAGAATTTCGACAGTTAGAGAAAAGTAAACGGCTCAAGAATAGAGAACACTGAATGTACTTTATGCGCTTTGTGTTTTGGAAAACTTTATTTTATTTGTGTCTTTATGTTTTGTTCTTTTATCTTTTTTCTACTTTTTTAAACGAAGAATGGTGGGTCAAATAATGTGATGATCAACTTTTTTAGCTTCGTTAGCTTAGCTACATGTTAACGTTAATCTCTTTTCACCAGCATTTAGTCAGTAAAGAAGCTTTTTTAGCATGATATTCCTATATCTAACTTGTCTCTGTTCTTTTTACCACATTTAAAGATGAGTCAGAATAAGCTGGAGCCATAACCCCCAAAATCTACCTAACTCTTCCCAGTGACAAAGGTGAGCAACACTGTGATTAATGACAAGCTAATTAGCATCTTTACATAAAGTGTATGGAGATTTATCTGTGTCCCTTGTACTTTTTACAATTTCACAACAAAACTAAAATATTTATTACTAAGAATCGTTACAAAATAACAATAAAACATCTTTCTGTCTCGAGTGGACAACTCACCTTTACTTTGTACTGTAACAGGTGTAGTACATTAGCTCAGTTTCCCTCATAACTTATCTCCTCTTGTTCTCCTAAATTAAATTAACAAAATGTTCAGAAATCTGCTATTTTCGTCACTTTGAGGTGATGATTAATATGAGTTAATGTAATTTTAAAGTTATACATGTTAGAAGTTTTAATTTTATCTTACATTTAAGTGTCTTTGTATATATCTAAAAAGTATAGACATTTTTAAAGATTTTTTTTAAAATAAAAAATATACCTATATTTCACTTTTAGCTAATTTTTTTAAAATCTCCTTTTAATCTTGCTTCAAATAGTGAATTACAGTGCATTCCGGAGTCCCTTTTTTTTTTTGCAGTCTCGCAATATTGTATTAGTCAATTCATGCAAGATCTTGAATACTGATAGTGCTACACCTCAAGGTTTTTCTAAGGTTTTTCCATGTATTTTAATATCTTGTTTGTGAGATAGTTAAGTTTTTTATATCTTTTTCTTTAGGATACAATGCACCACAAGCTTATGTGCAAAAAACAAAAGTAAAACAGGTCAAACATGGTCATTCATCTCATTCTATTCCTTTTAAAGCATAAACACAAACTGTATGTAAGACGGAAAGACAGAAAAAAATACATAAAAATTATTTGGACTATTTTTGAGTTATTTTCACCGGGTAATAAAGTCAGTCTGGCGGCGCTCCTTATAGATATGCATGCCGCTGCTATGCTTGGCTGTGGGTGTGTGGAGCCGTGATGTAACAGTGAGAAAGAAGATGTTTCCTGCTTCCGTAGCCACGCCTCCGTTGGGTGACGTCACCCATTCGGCAGTATAAAAGTTCGAGCACCCCCCCAGTTTGGCCTTAGAAAGAAGCATCGTCGACATCCTCTCGGACCTTGGAGGGTTACATTTACCCAAAACCTTTTTCAAATGGGCCCCGTCGCCTAGCGTTTGCTCTCCCCCATCCTCGCCGTCTGAGTTGACTTGGGTGCTACAGAACATCAGCACATCGTCTGGGTTAAGTAAAGGTGAGGGTTTTTTTTTCAGGTCAAAAGATGGTGGAAAGGGCTTCTTTCTCCTCTGCGAGGCGAGCTAACGGCTGAAAGCTAGCGGCTGTACGTCAGTTAAAAAGTAGGAACGGATAAAATTGTTTTCTCCCTTTGTCTTTGCGATACCCGTTGTTGTCTTTTAATAGTTAACGTATTTATTATTATTATTACTATTATTATTATTAACTGTCGCATCGAGCTAAGTTGTGTGGTAACAGACGGACAAAATGGTCACCGCAGTTTTTAGGTTTATTGTTCTGACCCAGAATTTTCTCAAAGCAGCAGCTTAATTCAGACGACTTCCGTGTACTTTACAGTCTAAAACCGGTCAGAACCGGTTTTGGTTCACCGTTTGCGTTGAATGTAAAGATGATGGCTTGGTGCAGTGACTGTTTTAATGTAAACACCCCCTTCTTCCTCCTCCTCTTCCTCACTGCAGACCAGTGACAGAGACGTCATGATGAAAACAATGAAGCTTATGGTGCAGAACCTAAATCTTCTCCACAGCCTGTTCATCGTTGGTTTTAAATGACAAACCCCCTGTTTTTAACTTTTGTGTCAAAACAGACAAATGTATTAAATGGAAAAATCCAGATCAGTTCTGATCTGAGCTCAGTGGGTCATTTCCCAATAAATGTTGCCATTGTTCATTAATTGCACCAAACTACAAGAGGTTTTTATATTTTAATTTTTATCATGTTATTTGATGCATTTCATTTGGCATTATTGGCCATTATCTTAAGCCTTTTAGTTTATCAAAATCTAAACTAATCTGAGGTTGGCATACTCTTTATTTTTAGAAATGTGATTTGCAAC